TTGACCTGTGTCATTGCCAACAAAGGGTATATAACAAAGTATTGAGAAACTTTTATTATTGACCAAATACTTATTTTCCACCATAATTTGCAAATAAATTCATTAAAAATCCTACAATGTGATTTTCTGGATTTTTTTCCTCATTTTGTCTGTCATAGTTGACGTGTACCTATGATGAAAATTACAGGCCTCTCTCATCTTTTTAAGTGGGAGAACTTGCACAATTGGTGGCTGACTAAATACTTTTTTTCCCCACTGTAGCTTAGTGGTTAAGAGCGTTGTGCCAGTAACCGAAAGGTTGCTGGTTCTAATCCCCGAGCCAACTAGGTGAAAAATCTGTCGATGTGCCCTTGAGCAAGGCACTTAACCCTAATTGCTCCTGTAAGTCGCTCTGGATAAGAGCGTCTGCTAAATGACGTAAATGTAATCATGTAGTAACCAAAGAAGTGTTAAACAAATCATAATATATTTGAGATTCTTCAAATAGCCACCCTTTTTCTTAATGACAGCTTCACACACTCTTGGCATTCTTTCAACTGTTTCGTTGTGTGTTATCTGTATTGTGTTGTGTCTTTCAGCAGAGAAAAGCTTTGTCACGTATCACATAATGTTTTGTCCTTCAAATGAATGTGGTCATTAAATATTTATACTAGAAAACTGCCTCAAACAACACTGTAAAATGTGTTTACATTCACACTGCTTTAAGGCAACAAAAAAAAGCAAGTTAAAGAAAAGTGGCTTACAGATTCATATGGCTTATGAATAATGTTGCTTATAAATAATAATAATAATATGCCATTTAGCAGACGCTTTTATCCAAAGCGACTTACAGTCATGCATGCATACATTTTTGTGTATGGGTGGTCCCGGGGATCAAACCCACTACCTTGGCGTTACAAGCGCCGTGCTCTACCAGCTGAGCTACAGAGGACCACATGTGAATCATGTGGCTTATGAATCATATGGCTTATGAATCATGTGGATTATGAATCATAACCAATGGGTCCCAGTAGATGAGTTGACTTATGACCTAGTAATGAATATAGAGCATTTCAGTGTTTTGACACGAGTTTTAGCATTTACAACCCTTTCAATACAGAAGTACCACATCTCTTCTTAATTGGAAACCATTAAGGAAGGCTGCATGGCTCACAACTGAGAAGGGTTACCGATATCAATTACTTATCTATGCTAATTAAATGATTGACCAATCAGTCAAAACAAAATCACTGATTCATTTTAACGAACAAAAAAAGAACAAAAATAAACGATAATATAACCAACGGACTAGTTATCAAACTATCTAACACACTTCAGTAGGCGTTACTAACTACTGTAACTACCTATAGGCTTTACTAACTACTGTTACTAACTAGGCGTTACTAACTACTGTAACTAACTGTAGGCGTTACTAACTACTGTAACTAACTGTAGGCGTTACTAACTACTTTAACTAATACAGTATATAGTCTGTGTCTCTGGGATACGTGTGATAAACAATCCTCTTATCAAATGTTATTGTCCTCCTCCTCATTCCTCTATTTAATGGGTTTTCAGCTGCTCTGTTTTTGAGTGACCCCCCCCAGGGCCTCTCTCCCACATACCAGTCACGTTGCTGTCATGACGCTGACTCGTCCTCTGTGTTCTTATTACAGCTTTGACCTCCCCGCTATTAGCTTTGTAAATATGACCTCTGTGACCAGGGTAGGGACTGAGGAACATAGGAAGTGTCCTGGGGTAAGGAATGCTTTGTTAGGGAAAGATGAGCGTCGTTGTCATTGTTTTTATGTCCGAGGAGTCTGAACTCTTGACACAGTACATGACACTTTCATCATAATCTGTCCTGAAGCCCCTTCATCCCATCCTCCTACCAACAAAATGTAATTACACTCTTGTTACTTGAAGAATAAAAGCTGTTTAGGTATAGTGCAACACAATATAAAGTGTTATCCCTATTACCACTACCACATGAGTGTCAAAACATCATGCTGTTCCTCACTTCTGGGTTAAATCATTCAATATGGGGGTCAAAGGTTGTTGGTTGCCAGGTACCACCGGGAGGTACACCTTTACTATCCTTAAGGTAACACATATGGGGAGGAAAGCAACCCTCCCCCTCTATCTCTCTATCTAACTCTATTTCTCTGTCCTCACTCCTCACTCTCTCTCCCCCTCCCTCTCGCTCTCCCCATCCCTCTCTTTCTCTCCCCCCTTCTCTCATTCCCTGTCTCGCTCTCCCCATCCCTCTCTTTCTCTCCCCCCTCTCTCATTCCCTGTCTCTCTCTCCCCCTCCCTCTATATCTCCCCCCTCTCTCATTCCCTGTCCTTCCTGTCTCTCTCCCCCTCCCTCTCTCTCTCCCCATCCCTTTCTCCCCCCCTCTCATTCCCTGTCTCTCTCCCCCTCCCTCTCTCTCTCCCCATCCCTTTCTCCTCCCCCCCTCTCTCATTCCCTGTCTCTCTCCCCCTCCCTCTTCTCTCCCCCTCCCTCTCTCTCTCCCCATCCCGTTCTCCCCCCCCCCCCCCCCCCCCCCCCCCCCCTCTCTCATTCCCTGTCTCGCACGTTTCAAATAATGACAAAGTTGAGACAAAAGGCACTAGCAGAAGGAGAAGTCTGGATTTTCCCTCTAACTTCAACGCCAGAGGAAACCTCTGATTCAAACCCAGACTCATAGTGAATCTTTCATATCTTCTCCCATAATCATTCTTACAGACTGAATACATTTCAGTCAGAACTGGTTACTGGCAGATCTTAAAGGTAGAATATTCTAGGAAGTGAAACATCCTCATGAGACATGGGGACTCACATTAGGTACACACAGAAGGCTGAATCTTGTTAAGAAATAACAACCACAACAATAATTAATCTCCTGTCCTTCATTTAAACTGACACTGATGTCATTTTTCATTTATTTGATTGAATAGCAGCATCACCCTTGACATAATGGATTCTGAAGTCATTCCTATTAATGTTGAGTAATGGGGTAGGAGCTGAATACACCGCCATAATGATGGACGAGGTACAGACAGACTGAAGGATGCTAAACATTACTACAGGAGGAGAGTCACAGACTCCTTCATTATTACGGTGAGAATTACAGCTTCAGAGGTGAGAGAAGCAGGCAGTGAGGAAGCACATTTCAAAGGGCTCTTGGTGAAAATAGTATCCATATTTCATGACAGGGACTCCAGGCTTATGTGGGATCTGCCTTGTTACCTCACACGTCTCACACGCATGACTCTCTCCCTCAATCTTGCCCTCTCTTAAAAGCTCTCCCTCTCTTTCTGTATCACTCTCAAGAGTTACCCACTCTCCCTCTATGTGTAACTCTCTCCTTCTCTCTCCTTCTCTCCTTCTCTCTCATTTTCTCTCCTTTTCTCTCCTTTTTCTCCCTTTGCCATGCTTTAGGGCACTAATTACGTCGCACTCTGCTCTGTAAAAAACAACAACATTCTCACTCCCCTATTAATTCAACAGATTTCAACAAAAGGCTAAAAGCAATCTGAACAGAGTCCAATTAAAAGCTCTGTGTTAGCGGGAGCGCCGGAAGACTGAACTAGTGAAGAACATCAGTCTCTTCGGATATGAAGCTCCAGTAACTGCGAACAGCTCTGGATCAATGTATACAATATGAGGTGTTAACGCAACTGCAGCTAATTGATCTTTGAAAAAGCCATAAGATCATGTACTGTGTTCTGCACACCACAGGCATAAAAAACAAGGTACTTGTTTAAATCATCATTTATTTTAGACTTTCTGTTTATTGTTTTCATTTGGCTTCAATTATTCCAGTGAAGTAATGTAATTTATTTTAACTTAATATACCCTAATATGTAATTATTTTGAACTTAAATGCCCTCCATAGGATTTGATTATACAATCACAGGTGGGCCCCTGGAGTCAGCTGTGTAGTGCTAGGGCAAAAAACTAAACGTGCACCCAGGGGGTTGGGGCCCAGGACCGAGTTTGGGAAACCCTGGAATATGCAATAAAAGTGCTTTTCTGTAGTATTTAGTAGTGTTTCAGTTGTCAGAGTAGCTCGTCTTCTTCGTAAAGGGCTCAGTCACCGGGTCACACACTGTGGAGTGTTCAGATTGTCCCCTGGTAATTGCCTTCTTCTGTCAGACATTTACACTGGTGAGTGGCCTTTAGAAGAGAAAGGCCGTTTTGTGTTCTTCCTCTGTTTTAGGCAGGTACAGTAAATTATAGACCTCCTCATTAAGGATTAACTTCCAGTACACTTGGTGCAAAATCTGTTAGAGACTCCACTGTGTGTGTGTGTGTGTGTGTGTGCGTGTGTGCGTGCGCGTGTGTGTGCAGTGTTTCCTTTATATTAATTTAACAGCGGCGGGCCGCCACTGCTAAATTGTTGCCGCCACTCCAAAAAATGATTTTAAAAAAACAGTGTAAACTTAAACGTCTAACACCAGATATAAAGCGAGATAATGGACCTATATATTTTGAAATAAGATCATCTTTGAGAACTAACAGTCACCAAAATTATAACTACAGGGAGAATCTAAAATAAAATAAATGTAATGGCATGGGGTCCCCAAATGTTCTAATGTTTGAGTCACTCAGATAGCATAAGAACACGGCATAGGCCATGGCAAAATGTGTAGAAATGCAGGAAATTACCTTTAAAATGACACATTTTCTCAGCCCCATGGCAAAAAAGTGATGTAGAATTGCAGGACATTACCTTTAAAACAGCAAAAAATAAAATATCTGCGGCCAAGAGGAGGGCCTCTACCATGCCCCCACTACTCCCAACACCTAAGCCCCATTTTGATCCAGCAGAAACCCTGGAGTGACAAGTTACAACATATATTTGTAGCATTTAATGCATTCAGAGTCTTTTGGGGTCTCACGGGGGTGCCTACCCCGGACACAACAGCCTCTAAAAATAATGCTCTCTCTCCACCAAGGAAAATCCATAGCAAAGAGGCAACGGTGAACCAAGCCAATCATGAGTGAAAACGTCATCATCCATCGACTAATTCAGCAATGTGTAAACTGTATGCGACCGGATATGTATACAAGACTCGCATCCTAGCAAAAAAAAAAAATCTGATTTTCACTTGATATCAGCGGCAATACTATTTATTTACTTCACGTTCAACTGCTTCGGTATTGCGGATTTCATGTCAAATATGTACACGCTTCGAGATATACAATTGTTCATTTAGCACATCTACGAAATCCACGGGCCGGCTAATGTTAACCAGCTAGCTAGCAATCCCAAGAAGCAAAGGTTTCGAATAGTGCAGCAAGTTTAGCTAGCTGGGTAGTCCCAATTTGTAAGTCTGCAAACAGTGTCTTGCACCGCTAGCTTGCCATAGCTGTGTTCCTGCTCTTTAGAAGGCAGTATGAGTTATGGAGGTTATGGGGGCAGAGGAGGCCGAAGAGGTGGCGGAAGAGGAGGTCGAGGATTCGGACGGGATGGGAGCCGGGAGAGGTGGGACCGCTTAGCTGGGTCGAGTGGCGGTGGACACCCGCGGAACACCGAATCAGAGTCGAGGGAGGACCGGGGAGAACGGGGAGGAAGAGGTGGGGGACCAAACCGTCCACCCCCACATCTAAAGGGCCGCGAGATCGGACTGTGGTACGCCAAATGGGGAGGCTTGAAGAGGAAAGAAAATGAGAGAAAATCGGTTAGTAGTGTAACATTAGTCACAGAGGCACCTGTGATTCTGTTTGGTGTGTAGTGGCTTGCTTGTGTTGTTGTCGTTGGTAGTCAGCTGCTCTACTGCAACTATCATTACTTAGTCTCGTTAACTCTCATGGCTGACAACTAGTTATATCTGGTTTTTGATAATGAAGTAGCAACCTATCTCGAATAAATCTATAGTATCTAGCATGTATCAGGATGAACACTGTACTAATGCTGTTGGTTTCTCCCTTGGTGTAGCGGGCAGTGGTTCAGATGGATGAGTCCAGGGAACAGCATATCACTAATCTGCTGAACACTGTCCAGAGAGGACCGACATGCCCGGGCTCAGCCAGGGAGGCCCACCCCTCCACATCTGACCACTGGCGTTCAGCCCCGTCAGCACCGGACAGAGGCGGCCACTGGTAAGGCACTGCCTTACTGGCTGTGTTCGTGAGCATCAACACCATGATGTATTATGGGTAAATTGTGACTGACTGACTGATCTATAAATAATAGTTATTTATGATGCAAGGTGATTTGTAGATCAGTCAGTCTAGACTCGCCTTTAAAGTTGACTGCAAAGTCTCTCAGAAAAATCCAGCTGCAGTAGGCAGTGTGACGCCCACAGACAGACACAGTGACGTCTGGATGTCATGTGTTCAGGTCCACAGGCCCCAGCCCTAACCCTAGTCCCCAGGACATCGTTAGGCCCTATGCATGGGACCTCTGTGTGTTGTGGACATGAGCCTGCTTGCTGCAGCTGCGTACTATGAAACTCCTCCTTACATCTCGTAAGTTTTAGGTTTATTTAGGAGGGCTCATACACCACTGTATTGCAACATCGTTGGCTACATTCAATGCTTTGGAACGTAAAGCAGTAAGCCTGTGATTTACTACAAGACTGTAATTCACCTGATGTGTGTTTCAGTTACTTTGATGGTGATGAGCCCTCTCAGGATGTCCTGAAGATGGAATTCAAACAAGAGAAGAAGAAGGATGAGGAGAGGCCAGTACAGAACACTCCACTCACATCACAACGGTAGGCTAACTTCTAGATTTGAGGGTTGTTGTTGTTCCTGTTGCCAAGCTCACTCATTAAAGCAATTCTTGTCTCTTTCTCCTGCCTTTCAGTTACTTCCCACAGGATGTCCTTAAAGCTGAACCGCAAGAAGAGAGGGAGGAGAAGAAGGAGAGGAGGGGGAAGGATAAAGATCTGGAGTACTTGTTTCAGGAGGTGGTCAGGGAGAATGCCCTGGACCAGCAGTTAAAGAGAGACCTAGAGAGGAAGAGGGCAGACTCTAAATACCTAGACATGCTGGTGAAAATTTACTTCATAAAAAATGAGCAGTATTATAATTACTGTGTTTATTATTGATTAACACAAGAATAAATACACGTTATCATAACACCAATAAAACTGGTGGTGAGATGTTCTTAGTTCACAACGTCTATTGATTGTAGTATTGTAGTAATTCATGTTTCCTGTTTATTTTTTTGCAGAAATTCAGGGAAAAGCTTCCATCATTTGGAAAGAAAGAGGTAAGATCTGAGACATTGTTCCTCCTGATGGAACATGGATGCTAGGCCTCTGCTTACCACGTGGGTGTGTCTTCACCCAAGACAGGAATAGGATCTCATCTTGTAGGACGTTTCTGTATGATGAAAACCTTGCAACTACATTTTTGCCAATTTCCATATACACTGAACAAAAAATATAAACGCAACATGTAAAGTGTTGGTCCCATGGTTCATGAGCTGAAATAAAAGATCCCAGACATTTTCCATATGCACAAAAAACGTATTTCTCTCAAAGTTTGTGCACAAATTTGTTAACATCCCTGTTCGTGATCATTTCTCCTTTGCCAAGATAATCCATCCACCTGACAGGTGTGGCATATCAAGAAGCGATTAAATAGCATGATCATTACAGAGGTGCACCTTGTGTTGGGGACAATTAAAGGCCACTCTAAAATGTGCAGTTTTGTCACACAACACAATGCCACAGATGTTTCAAGTTTAGAGGGAGCATGCAATTGGCATGCTGACTGCAGGAATGTCCACCAGAGCTGTTGCCAGAGAATTGAATGTTCATTTCTCTACCATAAGCCGCATCCAATGTTGTTTTGGAGAATTTGACAGTACATCCAACCAGCCTCACAACCGCAGACCACATGTAACCACGCCAGCCCAGGACCTCCACATCCGGCTTCTTCACCTTTAGGATCGTCTTGAGACCAGCCACCCGGACAGCTGATGAAACTGTGGGTTTGCACAACAGAAGAAGAAGAAGAACCGGAGAATCTCTGCACAAACTGTCAGAACCGTCTCAGGGAAGCTCATCTGCGTGCTCATCGTCCTCACCAGGGGTCTTGACCTGACTGCAGTTTGGCGTCGTAAACATCTTCAGTGGGCAAATGCTCACCTTTGATGGCCACTGGCATGCTGGAGAAGTGTGCTTTTCATGAGTGAATCCCGGTTTCAACTGTACTGGGCAGATGGTAGGCAGTGTGTATGGCATCGTGTGGGTGAGCGGTTTGCTGATGTCAATGTTATGAACAGAGTGCCAAACGGTGGTGGTGGGGTTATGGTATGGGCAGGCATAAGCTACTGACAACGAACACAATTGTATTTTATCGATGGCAGTTTGAATGCACAGAGATACCGTGATGAGATCCTGAGGCCAATTGTCGTGCTATTCGTCCGCTGCCATCACCTCATGTTTCAGCATGATAATGCACGGGCCCATGTCGCAAGGATCTGTACACAATTCCTGGAAGCTGAAAATGTCCCAATTCTTCCATGGCCTGCATACTCACCAGACATGTCTCCCATTGAGCATGTTTGGGATGCTCTGGATCGATGTGTACGACAGCTTGTTCCTGTTCCCGTCAATATCCAGCAACTTCATAAAGCCATTGAAGAGGAGTGGGACAACATTCCACAGGCCACAATCAACAGCCTGATCAACTCTATGCGAAGGAGATGTGTCACGCTGCATGAGGCAAATGGTGGTCATACCAGATACTGACTGGTTTTCTGATCCACGCCCCTACCTTTTTTTTAAAAGGTATCTGTGACCAACAGATGCATATCTGTATTCACAGTCATGTGAAATCCATAGATTAGGGCCTAATGAATTTATTTCAATTGACAGATTTCCTTATATGAGCTGTAACTCAGTAAAATCTTTGAAATTGTTGAATGTTGCATTTATATTTTTGTTCAATGTGTACACACACACTCAGTCAGTGACTAGTTTATTAGGTACACCCATCTAGTACTAGGTCCGACCCCCCTTTGCCTCCAGAACAACCTAAATTCTTTGGTGCGTGGATTCTACAAGGTGTGGCATTCAAATGTTGCTAATTTGGTATCAAGGGACCTAACGTGCCAGGAAAACATTCCCCACACCATTACACCAATGCCACCAGCCTGTACCGTTGACACCAGGCAGCATGGGGCCATGGACTCATGCTGCTTACACCAAATCCTGACTACCGTCAGCACGACCCAATAGGTACCGTAATTCTTTGGACCAGGCAGTGTTTTTCCACTCCTCAATTGTCCAGTGTTGGTGATTGCGTGCCCACTGGAGCTGCTTCTTCTTGTTTTTAGCTGATAGGAGTTGAACCCGGTGTGGTCGTCTGCTGTAATAGCCCATCCGTGACAAGGACCGACGAGTTGTGCGTTCTGAGATGCCGTTCTGCACACTCCTGTTGTACTGCGCCGTTATTTGCCTGTTGGTGGCTCGCCTGTTTGCTTGCACGATTCTTGCCATTCTCCTTCGACCTCTCATCAACGAGCTGTTTTCGCCCACAGGACCGCCGCTGGATGTTTTTTGTTTGTCGCACCATTCTCGGTAAACCCTAGACACTGTTGTGTGTGAAAAGCTCAGGAGGGCGGACATTTCTGAGACACTGCTACCGATGTGCCTTGCACTGATGATCATACCACGCTCAAAGTCGCTTAGGTCACTAGTTTTGCCCATTTTAACATTCAATCAAACAGCAACTGAATGCCTCGATGCCCGTCTGCCTGCTTTATATAGCAGATTCACTGTCTGTAGGAGCGAGCCATTTTCGTGAACGGTATGGTGTACCTAATAAAAGGACCTCTGAGTGTGTGTGTGGACACGCCTTCAAATGAGTGGATTCAGTTATTTCAGCCACACCCGTTGCTGACACTCCACTGGCTTCCAGTTGAAGCTCGCATCTGCTACAAGACCATAATGCTTGCCTACGGAGCTGTGAGGGGAACGGCACCTCCTTACCTTCAGGCTCTGATCAGTCCCTACACCCAAACGAGGGCATTGCGTTCTTCCACCTCTGGCCTGCTGGTCCCCCTACCTCTGCGGAAGAACAGTTCCCGCTCAGCCCAGTCAAAACTGTTCGCTGCTCTGGCACCCCAATGGTGGAACAAGCTCCCTCACGACGCCAGGACAGCGGAGTCACTCACCACCTTCCGGAGACACTTGAAACCCTACCTCTTTAAGGAATACCTGGGATAGTATAAAAGTAATCCTTGTGGAAACATCTAGGAGCAACAACGGCTCAGCCGCGAAGTGAAGTGGTAGGCCACACGAGCTCACAGAACGGGACTGCCAAGTGCTGAAGCGTAAAAATCTTCTGTCCTCAGTTGCAACACTCACTACCGTCGGCTGGAGTGGTGTAAAGTTCGCTGCCATTGGACTCTGGAGCAGTAGAAACTCATTCTCTGGAGTGATGAATCACGCTTCGCCATTTTTAAAATTTAATTTAACCTTTATTTAACTAGGCAAGTCAGTTAAGAACTAATTCTTATTTGCAATGACGGCCTACCCAGGCCAAACCCGGACAACGCTGGGCCAATTGTGCGCCGCCCTATGGGACTCACAATCACGGCCGGATTGTGATACAGCCTGGAATCTAACCAGGGTCTGTAGTGACGCCTCGAGCAATGAGATGCAGTGCCTTAGACCGCTGCGCCACTCGGGAGCCCAAACACATGCGCTGCCCGGGAATCAAACCCGGGTTGCAAGAATGGGAATCTTGCATGATACCACTACACCAGCGGCGCATTTCATAAGTCAAGGACGATCTGACAGTCCGACGGACAAATCTGGGTTTGGCGGATGCCAGGAGAACGCTACCTGCCTCATGGTTCTGGCTAGGCCCCTTAGTTCCAGTGAAGGGAAATCTTAACGCTAGAGCATACAATGACATTCTAGACTATTCTGTGCTTCCAACTTTGTGGCAACAGTTTGGGGAAGGCCCTTTCCTGTTTCAGCATGACAATGCCCCCGTGCACAAAGCGAGGTCCATACAGAAATGGTTTGTCAACAAAATGTTCGCTCTTGATTTATTTGATGTATTGAAAGCAACTCCCCTCAATGTACTCTGAACATTTCATAACTCCAGGACCAATAAATGTATTCTAAATAGCATCTTGTTAATGTTTGTTAATGGTAAAATATTGAATTGTTTTCCATTTCCTGAAAAGATAAGAGGTTAAGGTATTAAAGATGATGAGGGTTTCATCCGACAGCTACAGAAAGTGTCTTGCCTCACCTCTGTTCTGTCCTATCCTGTCCTCTCTCTGGTTCATCAGGAGTTGGTGGAGTTGATCAGATCCAGCCAGGTGCTGGTGGTCAGTGGGGAGACGGGCTGTGGTAAGACCACCCAGGTGACTCAGTTTATCCTGGATGACTACATAGAGAGGGGCATGGGTTCAGTCTGCAGGGTGGTCTGCACCCAACCACGACGCATCAGTGCCATATCCGTGAGTAACGAGTCTGTGTGTGTGTGTGTGTGTGTATTGCTCCTGTTCCAGGTGTGTGTGTGTGTGTGTGTGTGTGTATTGCTCCTGTTCCAGGTGTGTGTGTGTGTGTGTATTGCTCCTGTTCCAGGTGTGTGTGTGTGTGTGTGTGTGTGTATTGCTCCTGTTCCAGGTGTGTGTGTGTGTGTGTGTGTATTGCTCCTGTTCCAGGTGTGTGTGTGTGTGTGCGTGCGTATTGCTCCTGTTCCAGGTGTGTGTGTGTGTGTGTGCGTGTGTATTGCTCCTGTTCCAGGTGTGTGTGTGTGTGTGTGTGTGTGTGCGTGCGTATTGCTCCTGTTCCAGGTCTGTGTGCGTGTGTGCGTGTGTATTGCTCCTGTTCCAGGTGTGTGTGTGTGTGTGTGTGTGTATTGCTCCTGTTCCAGGTGTGTGTGTGTGTGTGTGTGTGCGTGTGTATTGCTCCTGTTCCAGGTCTGTGTGTGTGTGTGTGTGTGTGCGTGCGTATTGCTCCTGTTCCAGGTGTGTGTGTGTGTGTGTGTGTGTGCGTATTGCTCCTGTTCCAGGTCTGTGTGTGTGTGTGTGTGTGTGCGTGCGTATTGCTCCTGTTCCAGGTGTGTGTGTGTGTGTGTGCGTATTGCTCCTGTTCCAGGTGTGTGTGTGTGTGTGTGTGTGTGTGTATTGCTCCTGTTCCAGGTGTGTGTGTGTGTGTGCGTGCGTATTGCTCCTGTTCCAGGTGTGTGTGTGTGTGTGTGTGTGTGTGTGTGTGTGCGTATTGCTCCTGTTCCAGGTGTGTGTGTGCGTGCGTATTGCTCCTGTTCCAGGTGTGTGTGTGAGTGTGTGTGTGCGTGCGTATTGCTCCTGTTCCAGGTGTGTGTGTGTGTATTGCTCCTGTTCCAGGTGTGTGTGTGTGTATTGCTCCTGTTCCAGGTGTGTGTGTGTGTGTGTGCGTGCGTATTGCTCCTGTTCCAGGTGTGTGTGTGTGTGTGTGTGTGTGCGTATTGCTCCTGTTCCAGGTGTGTGTGTGTGTGTGCGTACGTATTGCTCCTGTTCCAGGTGTGTGTGTGTGTGTGTGCGTATTGCTCCTGTTCCAGGTGTGTGTGTGTGTGTGTGTGCGTGCGTATTGCTCCTGTTCCAGGTGTGTGTGTGTTTATTGCTCCTGTTCCAGGTGTGTGTGTGCGTGCGCATTGCTCCTGTTCCAGGTGTGTGTGTGTGTGTGTGTGTGTGTGTGTGTGTTTTACCTTTTTCAGTATGTGTGGTGTTCCTTCTGATGTGTGCTTTTCCCAGGTGTGTACTCTCTTGTCAATGTGTGTGTGTGTGTGTTTTAGGTAGCAGAGCGGGTGGCTGCGGAGAGGGCCGAGAGTGTGGGGGACGGGAACTCCTGTGGTTATCAGATCCGCCTGCAAAGGTGAGTTTTCTATTTGGAGTGGAACCTCTCTTTAACTCTTTGGCCTATATGGATAGGACTACATTGAAATGATTCTTACAGAAGAAAATATGAAAAGCGTGGTAGTAATTGAAACAGTTTGGAGATTATGAGAAAATTGTAGGTCGATGTTGAAGACACAACCTTCACCTGACACAAAACGGAATCCAAATATTACACTGTTGATTTTATGTGCATTTTACATTTACTGTACTTTTGGCCGCATTTGTTGATAACGAAATCTGAAAATACTCTGCATACATTCAGTAACATGATAGTAATATTCCTGGAAAATGTGAGGTAGGTGCAACAGAATACAAGGGTTTGAGTGAGAGGTCTAACTGGTGTCTCCAAGTGGCCCCACACCTCTCCAAAGTGTGCACAGTTCCTAAGCACTTTTATGACTCAAAGAAGTCTTCTACTATAAGGTGCTGTTTTTATCTCTCCTAGCTGTGTCGTTGAGGACCTAGAGAAAGGACACTTGTAGTTGTTTTGTTTGGAACACAGCCCTGCATCCCCGCCATCACACAGTTACTGTTGTTGTTTACGCAATCCCAAAACGGCCCATTTTATAAATCGCGATCTGGGTCAGGTGGGAATCATTTGAAAGCTTTTGTTCTATTGCCAACATGACTAGCTAAGATATAATATATGATCTTACAGCGTTAGGCATTCACAAGGCAATTCAGAGAAACTGATTTGTAATTTTGGTGTCCATAAAAAGGAGTCCTGATTTCATTCAGGACACAGCACATTTTCTTCACCACAGACAAACACAGGCTCTGTTCAGACAAACACAGGCTCCCTCTGTTCAGACAAACACAGGCTCCCTCTGTTCAGACAAACACAGGCTCCCTCTGTTCAGACAAACACAGGCTCCCTCTGTTCAGACAAACACAGGCTCCCTCTGTTCAGACAAACACAGGCTCACTCTGTTCAGACAAACACAGGCTCTGTTCAGACAAACACAGGCTCTGTTCAGACAAACACAGGCTCTGTTTAGACAAACACAGGCTCTGTTTAGACAAACACAGACTCACTCTGTTCAGAACAACCCAGGGTATGAGGCCATGCCATCTTGTAACTGTACATCAAACATAGAGATCATATACGTTGACACTGCATGACAACTCATGACATGAGTTTTATGATATGGAAATGTGAAGTGCACATTTGGACTCACAGGTGTTTGGCTTGCTTGTATGACATCAACGCGATATTTATTATAATCCTCAACGTCTCATCTTTCAAAATACATGGTCGTCTTAATTTACAGCATTTCCCTCACTCAAACAATTATATCTTTTTTGCCAAAGTTTCCCAAGCGATGGGGCAACTTCTTGTCTTGTGCGGTGCTCAAGGTCAGAATGTTGTCCGTCAGTCAAAACCCATACAGTACTGTGAAGCACAGTTCTGACGTCATGTATAGCATCTTACTGTACAGCCACTAACGTTCCAATTCATACACTTATTAGGTCCCAAATCTGCCATTTTCAACCCGTATACGGGTGTGAGTGTAAAGGGTTAAGGGTATAGAGAAAGCACAGCTGCTCATATAATACAGGGGTTTAAACGCCCCAATGCTTTGTGACTAACTAGAAAGTGTGTGGAGGCCGTACACGCTGGGTGACCGAGGGATCACCTGAGGCTGCAGACAGCTGTGGAGGCCGTACAAGCTGGGTGACCGAGGGATCACTGAGGCTGCAGACAGCATCTTGTCTGGATGTTTAGACGCTCTCAGTGAGTCTCAGTTGGAGATGTGTTCTGCACCACACAGACACACTGAGCTCCGGCTCACATAGCAGCGTCTGTTCTGTGTTTCTGTACAACTCTGATGTTAGGGGCGGGCGGAGAAAATGCAACTAATCCCATCAAGGGTGTGTGTGTGTGTGTTGGAGGCGGTAATGTGTTTGGGCTGAAGGACTAGAAGCATTGGTAGTGTGTGTGGGGGAGTACAGACAGACAGACAGGGGTATGGACAGACACAGACATGGGTATGGGGTACACTGTGTTGGTTCGTGGGCTCTGCTTAGCCTCCAAGCAGACTTATCCAAAGAAACAGTTTGTTACATTTTAACATTTACATTCTAGTCATTTAGCAGAAGCTCTTATCCAGAGCGACTTACAGGAGCAATTAGGGTTAAGTGCCTTGCTCAAGGGCACATCGACAGATTATAGTAGGCTTCGGGGATTCGAACCAGTGGCCTTTCAGTTACTGGCCCAACGCTCTTAACCGCTAGGCTACCTGACACTTGTCTGTTCCTGTGTGTGTGTGTGTGTGTGTGTGTGTGTGTGTGTGCGTGTGTGTGTGTGTGTGTGTGTGTGTGTGTGTGTGTGTGTGTGTGTGTGTGTGTGTGTGTGTGTGTGTGTGTGTGTGTGTGTGTGTGTGTGTGTGTGTGTGTGTGTGTGTGTGTGTGTGTGTGTGTGTGTGTGTGTGTGTGTGAGAGAGAGAGAAGGAACAAGAGTGAGATTGTGGGGTTTGCCAAAATTGAATTTGTATGTCTTGTTTGTGAGGAAGCGAGCAAGTGTGTGTGTTTCACTCCTGGGCTAGGTTACTGGACCATAGAGTCACTCAGATAATGGTCTCCTTTTGGTGAGGGGGTTCAGAGGAGACGGAATAGACACGTTTCTCTCATCCTCATATTCTTCTCCTTACTAAAGGAATTAAAGGTGTATGCTGTTTTGCATAGGAAGTGTGTTGTGATGACCTCTCCTGTTAGGTTAGATTTCTGAGTGGTTGAGCTGCTGTCCGGATGTTTCCACAGATGGTGGGCTTTGAAAGGACATCTATAAACCCCCTATAGTCCTCCTAAGCCACGGTCCTATCAGTGATCATCTGGGTTATTGATTTCTCAAGCTCTGGGATCACCAGTCAGGATGAGTTGAGGGTATGGCTATTGGAAATAAAGAAGAAGAATGTACAAGCAGCCAGGTGTGAGTGTGTTTGCTCGTGCGTTGTGTGTGTGCGCACGCTGTGTGTGTGCTCACACATTGTGTGTGTGTGTGTGGACACATGACTCGACCTTCGCCTTTCCCGAGCCCGTTGGGGAGTTTCAGCGATGAGACAAGATCGTAATTGGATCGCAACTGGATAACACAGAACTGGGGAGAAAAGGGGCTAAAATAGACATTAGACAAAATGTGTAGAATTGCAAGAAAATACGTTTTAAACCTGCTAAATTCTATCCACCAACAAGAGGGGTGTGAACAGTTTGTGTCATGAACAGTGCTTGTGGCCATAGACGTGGCTTGTGCAGAATAGATGGACAGAATATATGGACAGAGGAAATAGGACAGAATAGAAGGACAGAATAGATGGACAGAGGAAATAGGACAGAATAGATGGACAGAGGAAATAGGACAGAATAGATGGACAGAGGAAATAGGACAGAATAGAAGGACAGAATAGATGGATAGAGGAAATAGGACAGAATAGATGGACAGAGGAAATAGGACAGAATAGAAGGACAGAATAGATGGACAGAGGAAATATGACAGAATAGATGGACAGAGGAAATAGGACAGAATAGATGGACAGAGGAAATAGGACAATATATGGACAGAGGAAATAGGACAGAGGAAATAGGACAGAGGAAATAGGACAGAATAGACAGAATAGATGGACAGAGGAAATAGGACCGAATAGATGGACAGAATAGATGGACAGAAGAAATAGGACAGAATAGATGTACAGAGGAAATAGGACAGAATAGATGGACAGAGGAAATAGGACAGAATAGAAGGACAGAATAGATGGACAGAGGAAATAGGACAGAATAGATGGACAGAGAAAATAGGACAGAATAGATAGACAGAGGAAATAGGACAGAATAGAAGGACCGAATAGATGGACAGAGGAAATAGGACAGAATAGAAGGACAGAATAGATGGACAGAGGAAATAGGACAGAATAGATGGACAGAGGAAATAGGACAATATATGGACAGAGGAAATACGACAGAATAGATAGACAGAGGAAATAGGACAGAATAGAAGGACAGAATAGATGGATAGAGGAAATAGGACAGAATAGATGGACAGAGGAAATAGGACAGAATAGATGGACAGAGGAAATAGGACAGAATAGAAAGACAGAGGAAATAGGACAGAATAGAAGGACAGAATAGATGGACAGAGGAAATAGGACAGAATAGATGGACAGAGGAAATAGGACAGAATAGAAGGACAGAATAGATGGACAGAGGAAATAGGACAGAATAGATGGACAGAGGAAATAGGAAAAAATAGAAGGACAGAATAGATGGACAGAGGAAATAGGACAGAATAGAAGGACAGAATAGATGGACAGAGGAAATAGGACAGAATAGATGGACAGAGGAAATAGGACAGAATAGAAGGACAGAATAGATGGACAGAGGAAATAGGACAGAATAGATGGACAGAGGAAATAGGACAGAATAGATGGACAGAGGAAATAGGACAGAATAGATGGACAGAGGAAATAGGACAGAATAGATGGACAGAATAGATGGACAGAGGAAATAGGACAGAATAGATGGACAGAATAGATGGACAGAGGAAATAGGACAGAATAGATGGACAGAATAGATGGACAGAGGAAATAGGACAGAATAGATGGACAGAATAGATGGACAGGGAGAGAGGAGGAAAAACAAAAGGAGGTTGCAATGGAGGAGAGATGACAGACTGGGGTAATCGTGTGTCCATGGGGCTCAGAGAGAGGTTAATGTGATCAACGTCATACTGGGACTACAAATCAGCCTTAGAAGAAGATAGTATTCCTGTCACACACTGTGTGTGTGTGTGTGTGTGTGTGTGCATGTGCGTGTGTATAGCAGCCACAAGCTTACTCCACTCTCTGAAATGTGTTAGTGTAGGAAGATATCTAATAAATATATTTCTAAAAAGTGTATAATTCTCCCACTCAACTATGTAATCACTTAATTTGTATGTAAACAAGAGCATGGGGACATATTTGACTGAATACACCTGCTAATGTAGCCTAGGCCCAGGGTCCAAAGTTTACAGTCGGGCCAGTTGGCCAAAAATCTACTGTCCCGAACAGAATTTCTACCGGACTTGGTGTAGTTTTTAAATGCTTTGGGGGTCATGCAGGGCCTATATTTTGGCATGCTTCTATATTCAGCTATTAATAGGCTACAATTAGGATATTATGATATGAATTAAAGTGATTTTCTTGTGTTTTATATATGTTTCCACACTGAGGTTTGAATGATACTGTGAAATGTAGAAAATTATGATAATGCAATTTTAGTGTAAGAGCTGAAATTACAGCTTGTTTGGCTGGGTGGGGTTTTTGGTTAGTAGACCAATAACAAAGAGAGTTTTCCCTCCTCTCAGCTAATTACAGCTAGTTTTTAGGTTACACATCCCTCCTATTAGGATCCTCCATTAGGCCCCTCTCAGACCACTCCTAGACAGAAAGTCCATTTAGCTTAGATATTTTGGTTTCTTTTTGACTATTTTAATTGAAAACAGTTACAGTAAAGTACTTACTTCATTGTTACCCAGAAATCATTTGATATTGGGATAAAAAAAACCCAGCTACATTGGACCTTTTTTTAAAAAGCTGTGTAATGTAATTTAGCAATGCAAGTCATTACTGTATTCTTTAGAATTGCATTGTATTCATTTTTGTTTCTAAAGTAGGCCTATGACAATTTTATATATTTTTTTGGTTTTTACATCTCAAAATAGGACGCTACCCCTTTAAGACATAAGTTCCACAAGCGATATGGACCTGGCTACAGTATTTATATTTTTTATTTAACCTTTATTTAACTACAACAAATTCTTATTTACAATGACGGCCTACCAAAAGGCAAAATAACTCCTGCGGGGACGGGGGCTGGGATTAAAAAATCTATAAATATATAAATATAGGACCAAACACACATCACAACACTACATAAAGAGAGACCTAAGACAACAACATAGCATGGCAGCAACACATGACAACACAGCAAGGTAGCAACCCAACATGAAAACAACATTGTAGCAACACAACATGGCAGCAGCACAACATGGTGGCAGCAGCACAACCTTCAACAGAATGTGACTGGCAGAACGGGTGTTGTATGTGGAGGATGAGGGCTGCAGTAGGTATCTCAGATAGGGGGGAGTGAGGCCTAAGAGGGTTTTATAAATAAGCATCAACCAGTGGGTCTTGCGACGGGTATACAGAGATGACCAGTTTACAGAGGAGTATAGAGTGCAGTGATGTGTCCTATAAGGAGCGTTGGTGGTAAATCTGATGGCCGAATGGTAAAGAACATCTAGCCGCTCGAGAGCACCCTTACCTGCCGATCTATAAATTATGTCTCCGTAATCTAGCATGGGTAGGATGGTCATCTGAATCAGGGTTAGTTTGGCAGCTGGGGTGAAAGAGGAGCGATTACGATAGAGGAAACCAAGTCTAGATTTAACCTTAGCCTGCAGCTTTGATATGTGCAGAGAGAAGGACAGTGTACCGTCTAGCCGTACTCCCAAGTACTTGTATGAGGTGACTACCTCAAGCTCTAAACCCTCAGAGGTAGTAATCACACCGGTGGGGAGAGGGGCATTCTTCTTACCAAACCACATTACCTTTGTTTTGGAGGTGTTCAGAACAAGGTTAAGGGCAGAGAAAGCTTGTTGAACACTAAGAAAGCTTTGTTGTAGAGCGTTTAACACAAAATCCGGTGAGGGGCCAGCTGAGTATAAAACTGTTTAATCTGCATATAAATGGAGAGAGAGCTTCCTACTGCCTGAGCTATATTGTTGATGTAAATTGAGAAGAGCGTGGGGCCTAGGATCTAGCCTTGGGGTACTCCCTGGGTGACAGGCAGTGGCTGAGACAGCAGATGTTCTGACTTTATACACTGCAGTCTTTGAGAGAGGTAGTTAGCAAACCAGGCCAATGACCCCTCAGAGACACCAATACTCCTTAGCCGGCCCACAAGAATGGAATGTTCTACCGTATCAAAAGCTTTGGCCAAGTCAATAGAAATAGCAGCACAACATTGCTTAGAATCAAGGACAATGGTGACATTATTTAGGACCTTTAAGGTTGCAGTGACACATCCATAACCTGAGCGAAAACCAGATTGCATACCAGAGAGAATACTATAGACATCAAGAAAGCCAGTCAGTTGATTATTGACAGGTTTTTCCAACACTTTTGATAAACAGGGCAAAATAGAAATTGGCCTATAACAGTTAGGATCAGCTTGATCTCCCCCTTTAAATAAAGGATGAACCGTGGCTGCCTTCCAAGCAATGGGAACCTCCCCAGAGAGGAGAGACAGGTTAAAAAGGTCAGAGATAGGCTTGGTGATGATAGGGGCAGCAACCTTAAAGAAGAAAGGGTCTAAACCATCTGACCCTGATGTTTTTTTGGGGTCAAGTATAAGGAGCTCCTTTAGCATCTCGGACTCCGTGACCGCCTGCAGGGAGAAACTTTGTAGCGGGGCAGGGGGAAAAGAGGGAGGAGCATCGGGGCTAGTCACATTAGAAGGGGTGGGAGATGAGGAAATATTGGACGGGCAATGAGGCATGGCTGAGTCAAATAGGAATCCTGACTTAATGAAGTGGTGATTAAAGAGCTCAGCCATGTGCTCTTTGTCAGTAACAACCACATCAACATTAAGGGACATGGGCAGCTGTGAGGAGGAGGGTTTATTCTCCAGGTCTTTAACCGTTTTCCAGAACATCTTGGGGTTAGATCCACAGAGGGAGAACTGCTCCTTAAAGTAACTAACTTTAGCCTTTCGGATAGCCTGAGTGCACTTATTTCACATTTGCCTGAACGAGAGCCAGTCAGCCTGAGTATGCGTGTGCCGAGCCTTTCGCCAAATGGAATTCCTGAGGTGGAGTAACTCTGCCACATCATGGTCGGGGCTGAACCTGTTTTTAATTCTCAGTAGGCTAGCCAAGACTAATGCTAGGTGTCTTTTAGCAGACTATCAACAGTAGCCAGCATATTGCTAGTATGTTCACTATTGAAGGTTTACTTTTGTAAATAACGTCCCCTAAAATAAATAAGCTCAGAGAGTAGAGTGATGGGTGCTTCATTTTGCTCTGGACAGCTCACATGTGCTATGTGAAGGCATCAAGTTATGTACCACTCGAGAAGTTGTGACTTGTGGGAGCGTGGTGTGGTGCTTGAACGAACGACCAATCATATGGCTCAAATACAGCAAGACTTTTTCGCTTGTTGTCGTCAATGGTAGACTGCGACACAGCAGGTACACGTTGAACTGGAACGCAGAAATGCACTGGAATGTTACTTGGCCGGTCGGACAAGTGACTGACGAGATCCACTGGCCCAACAGGTGTTTTTACTGGCCCAGGCCAGCTGGCCATTGTTAATGTCTGACCTTGCCCAGGGCTATCAGCACTCCAACATCCTCATTCTCCCTCGCTTTTTCTGGGCCCTGATTTAAATGGCTTATAGTATATTAGAGAAAGTAAGTATATAAACTCTAATAACCTGCATTAATAAGTATATACGCGGTAATAACCTGCATTAATAAGTATATATGAGGTAATAACCTGTATTAATAAGTATATAAGCTGTAATAGCTTATATTAATAAGTATATAAGCTGTATTAATAAGTATATTAGCTGAATTAACCTGTATTAATAAGTAAGTATATAACCTGTATTAATAAGTATATAACCTGTAATAACCTGTATTAATAAGTAAGTATATAAGCTGTAATAACCTGTGTTAATAAGTAAGTATATAAGCTGTAATAACCTGTGTTAATAAGTAAGTATATAAGCTGTAATAACCTGTGTTAATAAGTAAGTATATAAGCTGTAATAACCTGTATTAAGTGTTTTCTATTCAATTGTGTATTCTTTTTTCTCCCTCCTCCTTTTAGTCGGTTACCACGGAAACAGGGCTCGGTGCTGTATTGTACAACGGGTATTATTCTACAGTGGCTCCGCTCCTCCCCGTGAGTGTCTTCCTCTTCATCATCCTCCTCCCCTCTCCCATCCCCAGCTCATGCTCTCTTTCTTTTCCCAGCTGTTTTTCATTCTGAATCTCTCTCTCTCTCCCTGTCAGTCTGCTGTCCACCATCAGCCACCTGGTTCTAGATGAGATTCATGAGAGGAACCTTCACTCTGACGTTCTGCTCATCATCGTTAAGGACCTGCTCCGAGTCCGACAGGACCTCAAGGTCATCCTCATGAGTGCCACGCTCAACGCTGAGAAGTTCTCCAAATACTTTGGTACACAATGACAAACAGTGGGGATTCAGTTTGTGTTTTGTCATAGCAGTATGTGCAATGGAGTTTGAAAATCAGAAATGGAAATTGGGAATTACCATTGAATACAGTCAGCATATTCCTCACTCTGCTCCTTCCACTCTCTCTCCCTCCACTCTCTCCCTCCCTTCCTGTCTCTCCAGATAACTGTCCTATGATCCACATCCCGGGGATGACCTTCCCAGTGCAAGAGTTCCTACTGGAGGATGTGTTGGAGATGATTAGGTGAGATCCTACCGGAGGATGTGTTGGAGATGATTAGGTGAGATCCTACTGGAGGATGTGTTGGAGATGATTAGGTGAGATCCTACTGGAGGATGTGTTGGAGATGATTAGGTGAGATCCTACTGGAGGATGTGTTGGAGATGATTAGGTGAGATCCTACTGGAGGATGTGTTGGAGATGATTAGGTGAGATCCTACTGGAGGATGTGTTAGAGATGATTAGGTGAGATCCTACTGGAGGATGTGTTGGAGATGATTAGGTGAGATCCTACTGTACACACTAGGATATATCCACTAGCCTTAAGCCTAAAGGAATGGGGAAGATCAGCACCTTCTAATCCGGTGACCTTAGACTTTGGGCTGAACTATGTGGTTGTGTGTGTATGTGTGGTTGTGGTTGTGTGTGTGTGTGTGTGGTTGTATATGTGTGTGTGCGCCAGGTACCGTCCCCAGAAGCAGGAGCGGAGGCCCAGGTGGAAGAGGGGTTTCATGCAGGGTCACAACTCCCGACCAGAGAAGGAGCAGAAAGAGGCAGAGTACAAGGAGAGCTGGCCCTGCTACGCCCGCACCCTCCGAGACAAGTAAGTTACTGAGGGGGACAGGACAATCTCATGATGAATCTCCAGTTTCTTTAATAAACAGATCGATTCTCTCTGACATGTCATGCTGTTAGTTTACTGGACATCCATTATATTACTCTGATAGGACAGTGGTTGCGGAGAGGATTATCAAAGCTGTCTAACAAATGATATCACTAATTTAATAAATTACTGTTGTCTTTGGTTCTGCATCATTGCTGATAGCATTACTGTCTCATTCTTTGATTGATTAGTCTTCCTGTTTGTGTCTGTTCCTGTCTGTGATTGGTGACTCCGCGTGTGTGTCTCATTGTGATTGGCAGGTACTCTGACAGCACCATAGATGTGTTGGAGATGATGGACGAAGATGATAAGATTGACCTGGAGCTCATTGTGCAGCTGATCAGACACATCGTGCTGAGCCAGGAAGTGAGTGTGAACTTTATCTTGGTGTGGAGTAGAGCCTGACCGATATGTTTTTTTGGGTCCGATTCTGATTTTTGGGGGTACAAAACATGCTGATATATCTGCCGGTATACTGTTTTACACCGGGGAAATTAAAATTGTAATTTTCCCACACTGAATTCTCATGTATTTCCATCCAAAAGAGCAATTGTCCAAAACTGCTTCAAATGTTGATTTCATACATAGTGATAATAGTGACATCATGAGAATGGCAGGAAGTGTTCAGATCAGCATGAGATTCCCTGTTTATATCCTATTTATTGAATATTAGTTATCAGTGTAATTATCGACCGATATAGCGGTAAAAGGCCAATATCGGCCAATAATATTGGTGAACCGATATATCGGTCGGGCTCTAGTGTAGAGCCCCACCAAACTGCTATTTTGGTGTTGATAGAGTGAAATACAACATAAAACATAAGTTCAATCAATAATCAATCCATATCTTTGTCCCATTTGTCAATTTACAATAATAGAACATATATTCACTTGACGAAAAACAGTATTTTCCCCATGTAGGACCATTATCCAGTAGCATTGGTTGATTTTACATTTTACATTTTAGTCATTTGGCAGACGCTCTTATCCAGAGCGACTTACAGTTAGTGAGTGCATACATTTTCATACTGGCCCCCCGTGGGAATCGAACCCACAACCCTGGCGTTGCAAGCGCCATGCTCTACCAACTGAGCTAGCTACACGGGACCTTCGGGTAGCTCAGTTGGGTGGATAACATGGAGACTTGAAGAAGGGCTATGTGGTTGAAACACGAAGAGGAGAGTTTCTCTATACAGGTTTGGGCCTAGGGGTCCATTTGAAATTCAGCAACCCTGTCTCTGTCAGCTACCATGACTCAGAAGGGAGTCAGCTGGCTGGTTGGCTGTAACATTGTCAGAGAACTGAGAGGAAAGCAGTAGATTGGACATGACAGGGTTCTTAGTGTGGGTCTAGGGGCCGGCTGTCAGGGTTCTGACTGTGGTGATTGGTTAATGAGCGAGAGATTCTAAAATGCCATTTTACCATTTATAAAATGGCCATACATCTTTTTTTTTTTTTTTGCAGACCAGCAAAGAAATAAGTTAAATTGGTTAAAAAGGGGAGGTGCAAAAACGTTAGTTTGCAACCCCTCTTTTAATTTGCTCCATGGCAAGGCGGCCAAGTGTAGGATAATCACTACTTAACAAAGCCACAAAGACATAAAGCCTGTCTATTCCTAAATTGTCTGTTATTAAAATCAGATTTTAAACCTAACTCTCACCTTAATCCTAACCTTGACCACACTGCTAACCTTAGCCTAACCCAAATCTAGGCTACAGAGAAAAGCTGATTGGCTCTCAGACAACTCGCAAATAGGAAGAACTTTGCAGCAGGTGTTTCTGGTTAATAAACATTGCCATGCTGGTGGGTGGTAAAAATGTGCACGTCATCTCATAGGAAAAGTCACGTAAGACACACGGAAATATCCGAAGTCACACATTCGGATTTGGCACTTCAAGACCAAATATATAATAACATACTTTGACTAAAACGATGACTTATTGAATTACATCGTTGCGCAACATCATGGGTAAGCTCTGTCCATCGTCTTTCAGTTCGAAAAAAGTGGATTTATACTGTTGTGGGAGTAAAAAAAAAACACACAAAAAAACAACTTCTACAATGACACCGTCTCATAATTTCTTTGGTGGGAAAACAACGGTGCAAAGCAAAATAAATATATGAACACTCAGTTGTATCTATTTCTCCATGTTTCATGTTAGTCTGTATGTCCACATTTTAAATGTCCACCATGTTAGGCTAAATTATAGAGAAAAGTAACCAAATTTCATTAATTTTTATTTGTATATATGTTTGATAGAGAACACTGTTCAAGTGTTCACCGTTATGCTAGCTCAATCTTCCTCACTCACAGAGCTAGGCTGTTAGCATTATGCACCAAACAGGTTGGAAAATGCACCAAAAAAAAGTAAATGCCTGAGCTCGACCAATATGTTTTTTCAAACATCTTCTTTTTCTGATGGAATACAAAAATATATAATTTTTTTCCCTAAAGTTATGAGATCCAAAAGGCACTGGACGGTAGGAATGACCCAATCGGCTATCTTACAGTCTGCGTGTGTCATGGCGTGTTTCACGTGTCCCTCCTGGGTTTGTGTGGTGGAGGTTTAGGATTCATTAGCATTAAGCAGAGAGCTCTGGGAACAACGGTCTCTGAAGCTGCTCCATCACAACACTATCTCAATTCAGTCAGCTCAGGTAATGTGAACCCTGCAGCTGCTCCATCACATCAGTCATTCCACCTCAAAAAGCACAAGAAAGAGGATTTCGACACCCTCCGTCTCAGATTGTTCTGAAGTCGTTTCTGTAGTTAGAAACAGTTAAGATTAGCATTCCTGAAACATTCGTTTGTTTAAATATAATTTGATCTGAGAAATTAAGATAATTGATTTCACCCAAATTGGTCATTTTAATTTATAGGATTAATATAGTACCTAACATCCAATTTGGACCATAATTCTTCCTAACAATGAGTTAGACATGAGGAATCCAATAAAATGGTCAAAAGCCACCATCGGAACCCCCACACCTATGCCAATCCCACCCCAACAACCAGTAAACACTATCACTTCTCAATGTTTGACAAGTAGTATGAAGTTACGGCTTGGAGTATTGCTTCTCCATACTATGTACACTGTGAATCTGGTGATGTTTTTTTCCACCCTGTTCAGAAGAAATTAATCACTGAAGTTGCTTGCATTATTTACCATAAATGAATGTGAAGGTACCAAGTTTTGCCCACTTGATGTCGCTGTTCCTGATTTATTTGATCCATTTTGCTGATCTCTTGCGTTTATAAAATGGATCACAACATTTTCTTTGCAACTTTGGGTAGACAACTAATAGCTTTTGCTCATTTAAATGTTTGGGTGGGATTGGCGTGGGTTGCCCGTGGGTGGCTTTTTACAATTTTATTGGATTCCTCATGTCTTACTCGTTGTTAGGAATAATTATGGTCCAAATCCAAGGTTAGGTACTATATTTATTAAAGATTATATGAATCCTGTAAATGAAAATGTCCAATTTGGCAATCAAATTAAATTAAATGTCAACAGAATAATGTTTCAGGATAATCTAATCTGGTTCTAACTACAGAAATGACTTCAGAACAATCTGAGATGGTGGGTGTCATGGCTTGAAGAAATGACATGGAATGACCCCCAATCCTCTCCAGTCAGCTCAGGTACCAGATTCTGTTCATGAATGGCAAAAAGTCCTCTTCATAAATCGTAATAATGGACTACTTTTCATGAATTCAACAGGATTGTAATGACATCGCCCCCAACCCTGATGCTAAAACGACTACCCAAGATACAAGCCAACTAAGCTAACTACCTAATTACTGTACACTTTTAGGCTGCGTTTACACAGGCAGCCCAATTCTGATCTTTTGCCCAATTGTTGGCTGATCTGATTGGTCAAAAGACCAATTAGTGGAAAAATATCAGATTTGTGCTGCCTGTGTAAACGCAGCCTAAGACCACCATTAAAGCTAAACTAACGCTAACATGGCCACTATTCTCCTCTGAATTGTGTGGATTGTGGTTAGCTCGGCTTTGTCTCTGTGTGGCTCTGGGTTTTTAGGTGTGATTTTTGTTCCCTTTTGAGCAAATTAGGCTTTTATTCATTCCAAAACCCCAAAACAGAGGCACTTCTTTTTGTAATTACCTAATTTGACTGTGTAGTCAGTGTGAAGAAGGCTTTGTGTGCTTACTCCGAGCAGAGAGAGGCTGGCTTGGCTGAGATGACAGAAAGTGGGAATGTTTATGAAAATTGTAGAATTCAGGTTCCTGTTTGTTTGTTCAGGTCATGTTTGTTTATTCAGGGCCTGTTTGTTTGTTTGTTTCTGACTGTAATGGAAAAGCTTTGATGTGCCTGTTGCCAGAGGGTGTTGATGTGTTTCTGAGTGTGTGTGTGGATGTGTGTGTGTTGATGTGTGTGTGTCCTGTCCTTGTGTTCCAGGAAGGAGCCATCTTGGTATTCCTGCCAGGTTGGGACAACATCAGTGGCCTCAATGACCTCCTCATGGCCCAGCAGATGTTCAAATCAGGTACACACCTATCCACACACACACACACACACACACACACACACACATACCACACACACACACCACACACACTATCCACCACACAACACACAACACAACACATCCACACACACACACACACACACACACACACCACACACCACACACACACACACACACACCACACCACACACACCCCACACACACACACACACACACACACCACAACACACACACACACACACACCTATCCACACACACCACACACACACACACACCACACCTATCCACACACCACACACACCCACACAACACCACACACACACACACCACACCACCCACAACACCACATACACACACACACACATCCACACCACACACACACACACCACACACCTATCCACACACACACCACCCACACACACACACACCTATCCACCACCACACACCCCACCACCCACACCACCACCACCCCCACACCACCTATCCCCACACCCACACACCCCTATCCCACACACCCACCACACCCACACACACACACACCACACCCACACACCTATCCACACACACACACACACACACACACACACACCACACACACACACACACATACACACACACACGCTGTGTGTCTGAACCTTGTCTGACCTTGTGTTTCAGATGGGTTTGTGATCATTCCCCTGCACTCCCTGATGCCTACTGTCACCCAGACCTCGGTGAGCATGGTCTCAGAAACACTCCTTTCACCCAGAACAGAACATTAATAACCCAGGGAGTGATGCTGTCTGTTCTGACTGGTCTCCCTCTTCAGGTGTTCAAAAGGCCCCCTCCAGGAGTCAGGAAGATTGTCATTGCCACCAATATCGCTGAGACCAGGTGTGTGTATATTTGTGTATTTTTGTTAGTGCCTTTTCCCCCATCCCTTACACTCTGTTAGTGTGTGTGTGTCTATACTTTTTTTTGTACAGAAGCTTCCTACTATTATCACAGACACTGAGTGTTACATACACTGTGTATGTATAGATATACACTGCTCAACAAAATAAAGGGAACACTAAAATAACACATCCTAGATCTGAATGAATGAAATAATCTTATTAAATACTATTTTCTTTACATAGTTGAATGTGCTGACAACAAAATCACACAAAAATTATCAATGGAAATCAAATGTATCAACCCATGGAGGTCTGGATTTGGAGTTACCCTCAAAATTAAAGTGGAAAACCACACTACAGGCTGATCCAACTTTGATGTAATGTCCTTAAAACAAGTCAAAATGAGGCTCAATAGTGTGTGTGGCCTCCACGTGCCTGTATGACCTCCCTACAACGCCTGGGCATGCTCCTGATGAGGTGGCGGATGGTCTCCTGAGGGATCTCCTCCCAGACCTGGACTAAAGCATCCGCCAACTCCTGGACAGTCTGTGGTGCAACGTGGCGTTGGTGGATGGAGCGAGACATGATGTCCCAGATGTGCTCAATTGGATTCAGGTCTGGGGAACGGGCGGGCCAGTCCATAGCATCAATGCCTTCCTCTTGCAGGAACTGCTGACACACTCCAGCCACATGAGGTCTAGCATTGCCTTGCATTAGGAGGAACCCAGGGCCAACCGCACCAGCATATGGTCTCACAAGGGGTCTGAGGATCTCGGTACCTAATGGCAGACAGGCTACCTCTGGCGAGCACATGGAGGGCTGTGCGGCCCCCCAAAGAAATGCCACCCCACACCATGACTGACCCACCGCCAAACCGGTCATGCTGGAGGATGTTGCAGGCAGCAGAACGTTCTCCACGGCGTCTCCAGACTCCGTCACGTCTGTCACATGTGCTCAGTGTGAACCTGCTTTCATCTGTGAAGAGCACAGGGCGCCAGTGGCGAATTTGCCAATCTTGGTGTTCTCTGGCAAATGCCAAACGTCCTGCACGGTGTTGGGCTGTAAGCACAACCCCCACCTGTGGACGTCGGGCCCTCATACCACCCTCATGGAGTCTGTTTCTGACCGTTTGAGCAGACACATGCACATTTGTGGCCTGCTGGAGGTCATTTTGCAGGGCTCTGGCAGTGCTCCTCCTGCTCCTCCTTGCTCAAAGGCGGAGGTAGCGGTCCTGCTGCTGGGTTGTTGCCCTCCTACGGCCTCCTCCACGTCTCCTGATGTACTGGCCTGTCTCCTGGTAGCGCCTCCATGCTCTGGACACTACGCTGACAGACACAGCAAACCTTCTTGCCACAGCTCGCATTGATGAGCTGCACTACATGAGCCACTTGTGTGGGTTGTAGACTCCGTCTCATGCTACCACTAGAGTGAAAGCACCGCCAGCATTCAAAAGTGACCAAAACATCAGCCAGGAAGCGTAGGAACTGAGAAGTGGTCTGTGGTCACCACCTGCTAAACCAGTCCTTTATTGGGGGTGTCTTGCTAATTGCCTATAATTTCCACCTGTTGTCTATTCCATTTGCACAACAGCATGTGAAATGTATTGTCAATCAGTGTTGCTTCCTAAATGGACAGTTTGATTTCACAGAAGTGTGATTGACTTGGAGTTACATTGCGTTGTTTAAGTGTTCCCTTTATTTTTTTGAGCAGTGTATATATACTACCGTTCAAAAGTTTGGGGTCACTTAGAAATGTCCTTGTTTTCGAAAGAAAAGCAATTTATTTGTCCATTAAAATAACATCAAATTGATGAGATACACAGTCGTGGTCAAAAGTTGTGAGAAGACACACGTATTGGTCTTCACAAAGTTCGCTGCTTCAGTGTTGAGATATTTTTGTCAGATGTTACTATGGTATACTGAAGTATAATTACAAGCATTCCATAAGTGTCAAAGGCTTTTATTGACAATTACATTAAGTTTATGCAAAGAGTCAATATTTGCAGTGTTGACCCTTCTTTTTCAAGACCTCTGCAATCCGCCCTGGCAGGCTGTCAATTAACTTCTGGGCCACATCCTGACTGATGGCAGCCCATTCTTGCATGCTTGGAGTTTGTCAGAATTTGTGGGTTTTTGTTTGTCCACCCGCCTCTTGAGGATTGACCACAAGTTCTCAATATGATTAAGTTCTGGGGAGTTTCCTGGCCATGGACCCAAAATGTCGATGTTTTGTTCCCCGAGCCACTTAGTTATCACTTTTGCCTTACTGGAAAAGGCATTGGTCGTCACCAAACTGTTATTGGATGGTTGGGAGAAGTTGCTCTCGGAGGATGTGTTGGTACCATTCTTTATTCATGGCTGTGTTCTTAGGCAAAATTGTGAGTGAACCCACTCCCTTGGCTGAGAAGCAACCCCACACATGAATGGTCTCAGGATGATTTACTGTTGGCATGACACAGGACTGATGGTAGCGCACACCTGGTCTTCTCCAGACTAGGTGTTTTCCGGATGCCCCAAACAATCGGAAAGGGGATTCATCAGATAAAATGACTTTACCCCAGTCCTCAGCAGTCCAATCCCTGTACCTTTTGCAGAATATCAGTCTGTCCCTAATGTTTTTCCTGGAGAGAAGTGGCTTCTTTGCTGCCCTTCTTGACACCAGGCCATCCTCCAAAAGTCTTCGCCTCACTGTGCGTGCAGATGCACTCACACCTGCCTGCTGCCATTCCTGAGCAAGCTCTGCACTGGTGGTGCCCACGATCCCGCAGCTGAATCAACTTTAGGAGACGGTCCTGGCGCTTGCTGGACTTTCTTGGGTGCCCTGACGCCTTCTTCACAACAATTGAACCTCTCTCCTTGAAGTTCTTGATGATCCGATAAATGGTTGATTTAGGTGCAATCTTACTAGCAGCAATATCCTTGCCTGTGAAGCACTTATTGTGCAAAGCAATGATGACGGCACATGTTTCCTTGCAGGTAACCGTGGTTAACAGAGGAAGAACAATGATTTCAAGCACTACCCTCCTTTTAAAGCTTCCAGTCTGTTATTCTAACTCAATCAGCATGACAGAGTGATCTCCAGCCTTGTCCTCATCAACACTCTCACCTGTGTTAACGAGATAATCACTGACATGATGGCAGCTGGTCCTTTTGTGGCAGGGCTGAAATGCAGTGGAAATGTTTTTTTAGGATTAAAGTTCATTTTCTTGGCAAAGAGGGACTTTGCAATTAATTGCAATTCATCTGATCACTCTTCATGACATTCTGGAGTATATGCAAATTGCCATCATCAAAACTGAGGCAGCAGACTTTGTGAAAATTAGTATTTGTGTCATTCTCAAAACTTTTGACCACGACTGTAGACATTGTTAATGTTGTAAATGGCTATTGTAGCTGGAAACGGCTGACATTGACGCCTCACAGGTCCTCAACTGGCAGCTTCATTAAATAGTACCCGCAAAACACCAGTCTCAACGTCAACAGTGAGGAGGCGACTCCGGGATGCTGACGACCTAGGCAGACTTGCAAAGAAAAAGCCATATCTCAGACTGCCCATCTTAATCTTTTATTTTTATTGGCCAGTCTGAGGCTTTTTCTTTGCAACTCCTGCGTAGAAGGTCAGGATCCTGGAGTCGCCTCTTCACTGTTGACGTTGAGACAGGTGTTTTGCGGGTACTATTTAATTAAGCTGCCAGTTGAGGACCTGTGAAGCGTCTGTTTCTCAAACTAGACACTAATGTATTTGTCTTCTTGCTCAGTTGTGCACTGGGGCCTCCCACTCCTCTTTCTATTCTGGTTAGAGCCAGTTTGCGCTGTTCTGTGAAGGGAGTAGTACACAGCGTTGTACGAGATCTTCAGTTTCTTGGCAATTTCTCGCATAGAACAGCCTTCATTTCTCAGAACAAGAATAGACTGACGAGTTTCAGAAGAAAGTTATTTGTTTCTGGCCATTTTGAGACTGTAATCGAACCCACAATTGCTGATTGTCGAATAATAGTGAAGACATCAAAACTATGAAATAACACATATAGATGTCATGTAGTAACTAAACAAGTGTTAAACAAATCAAAATATATTTTATCTTCAAATAGCCACCCTTTGCCTTGATGACAGCTTTGCACACTTGGGATTCTCTCAACCAGCTTCATCTGGAATGCTTTTCCAACAGTCTTGAAGGAGTTCCCACATATGCTGAGCACTTTTCCTTCACTCTGCGGTCCAACTCATCCCAAACCATCTCAATTGGGTTGAGGTCGGGTGATTGTGGAGGCCAGGTCATCTGATGCATCACTCCATCACTCTCCTTCTTGGTAAAATAGCCCTTGCACAGCCTGGAGGTGTGTTAGGTCATTGTCCTGTTGAAAAAGAAATGATAGTCCCACTAACCAGATGGGATGGCGTATCGCTGTAGAATGCTGTGGTAGCCATGCTGGTTAAGTGTGCCTTGAATTCTAAATAAATCACAGACAGTGTCACCAGCAAAGCACCCCCACACCATAACACCTCCTCCTTCATGCTTTATGGTAGGAAATACACATGCAGAGATTATCCGTTCACCCACACCGCGTCTCACACAGCCACGGCGGTTGGAACCAAAGATCTCCAATTTGGACCAAAGGATACATTTCCACCTGTCTAATGTCCATTGCTCGTGTTTCTTGGCCCAAGCAAGTCTCTTCTTATTATTGGTGTCCTTTAGTAGTGGTTTATTTGCAGCAATTCGACCATGAAGGCCTGATTCACACAGTCTCCTCTGAACAGTTGATGTTGAGATGTCTGTTACTTGAACTCTGTGAAGCATTTATTTGGGCTGCAATTTCTGAGGCTGGTAACTAATGAACTTATCCGCTGCAGCAGAGGTAACTCTGGGTCTTCCATTCCTGTGGCGGTCCTCATGAGAGCCAGTTTCATCATAGCGCTTGATGGTTTTTGCGACTGCACTTGAAGAAACGTTCTAAGTTCTTGAAATGTTCTGTATTGACTGACCTTCATGTCTTAAAGTAATGATGGACTGTTGTTTCTCTTTGCTTATTTGAGCTGTTCTTGCCATAATGTGGACTTGGACTTTTACCAAATAGGGCTGTCTTCTGTATGCCCCCCCTACCTTGTCCCAACACAACTGATTGGCTCAAATGCATTAAGAAGGAAATAAATTCCACAAATTAACTTTTAACAAGGCACACCTGTTAATTGAAATGCATTCCAGGTGACTACCTCATGAAGCTGGTTGAGAGAATGCCAAGAGTCTGCAAAGATGTCATCAAGGAAAAGGGTGGCTATTTGAAGAATCTCAAATATAAAATATATTTTGATTTGTTTAACACTTTTTTTGATTACTACATGATTCCATATGTGATATTTCATAGTTTTGATGTCTTCACTATTATTCTACAATGTAAAAATGAAGAAAAACCCTTGAAGGAGTAGGTGTTCTAAAACTTTTGACTGGTAGTGTATATATGTTTTTTTCATTTGAGTACTCAAAAAAAATCATGCGAGTATTCGAACACTCAAAACATTTCAAAAGACCATCCCTAGCCAGGGCGACAGCCTGTTTAAAAAATGCACTTTTAATGAATTCAAGAACAGACGGAACAGATGAGACAAACATTACTGACCTCACTCTCTCTCAACAGCAGGATACATTTAGACACCATATTTATTTTTACATGTGTTTCACAGAGTTAGAGAGGGAGCAAGTGTGTGTGTGTGTCTCATCAAGCTGCCTTGGATTACTTGGCTGTCTTAATAAAGTCCCCCCCCCCCCCCCCCCCCACACCCCTCCTCTCTCTTTGTCTCTCTCTTTGTCTCTCTCTCTCTCTCTCTCTCTCTCTCTCTCTCTCTCTCTCTCTCTCTCTCTCTCTCCTCTCTCTCTCTCTCTCTCTCTCTCTCTCTCTCTCTATCTCTCACTCAGTATTACCATAGATGATGTGGTGTTTGTGATAGATGGGGGAAAGATTAAGGAGACTCACTTTGACACTCAGAACAACATCAGCACTATGACTGCGGAGTGGGTCAGCCTAGCCAACGCCAAACAGAGGAGAGGACGTGCTGGCAGGTCAGTCTCTGAGTGTGTCTCCCCCTCTCTTCTCTCTGTCTGTCTCTCTCCCTCTCTCACCCCTCTGCCTCTCCTATCTTTCTCCCTCCATTTGTTTCTGTGTTGATGAGTGCAGCTTGGTTAACTCTGACTGTCTGCTCCGTATGGGCCTCATCAGAGCTATGTAACAGTGTGTGTTCAGACTGAGCCAGGGCACAGTTAGCGCTCCACTAGTCGTGGCAGCTACAGTGTGACTGTGCTCAAGGCCCAATTAGCCACTAACACTTTAATTCAACACTCTGTCATAAGGGCTACATTACACTGTCAGAATAATCACGTTAGCTAATGGGGTGTGTGTGTGTGTGTGTGTGTGTGTGTGTGTGTGTGTGTGTGTGTGTGTGTGTGTGTGTGTGTGTGTGTGTGTGTGTGTGTGTGTGTGTGTGTGTGTGTGTGTGTGTGTGTGTGTGTGTGTGTGTGTGTGTGTGTGTGTGTGTGTGTGTGTGTGTGTGTGTGTGTGTGCACGCACGCACGCACGCTGGCAGGGTGTGTCCAGGGAAGTGTTATCACCTGTATAATGGCCTGAGGGCCAGTCTACTAGATGCCTACCAGCTACCTGAGATCATGCGCACGCCACTGGAGGAACTGTGTCTGCAGATCAAGGTAACGTGTGTGTGTGTGCCTCTGGTGTTATTTCACATGCTTGGTAAACAGCAGGTGTAGACTAACAGTGAAATGCTTACTCACTGGTCCTTTTCCATCAATGCAGTTAAAGAGAAATGTACAAATAGTGACACGAGGAATAAATACACAGTCAATAACAATAGTAAAGATAACATGGCTATATACAGGGAGTAGAAAATAACTTGGCTATATACAGGAAGTAGAAAACAACATGGCTATATACAGGAAGTAGAAAACAACATGGCAATATACAGGAAGTAGAAAACAACATGGCAATATACCGGAAGTAGAGGATAACATGGCTATATACAGGAAGTAGAAAATAACATGGCTATATAAAGGGAGTAGAAAACAACATGGCAATATACAAGAAGTAGAGGATAACATGGCTATATACAGGAAGTAGAAAATAACATGGCTATATACAGGAAGTAGAAAACAACATGGCTATATACAGGGAGTAGAGAATAACATGGCTATATACAGGAAGTAGAAAATAACATGGCTATATACAGGAAGTAGAAAATAACATGGCTATATACAGGAAGTAGAAAACAACATGGCTATATACAGGGAGTAGAGAATAACATGGCTATATACAGGAAGTAGAAAATAACATGGCTATATACAGGAAGTAGAAAATAACATGGCTATATACAGGAAGTAGAAAATAACATGGCTATATACAGGAAGTAGAAAATAACATGGCTATATACAGGGAGTAGAAAATAACATGGCTATATACAGGAAGTAGAAAATATCATGGCTATATACAGGGAGTAGAAAATAACATGGCTATATACAGGAAGTAGAAAATAACATGGCTATATACAGGAAGTAGAAAATAACATGGCTATATACAGGGAGTAGAAAATAACATGGCTATATACAGGAAGTAGAAAATAACATGGCTATATACAGGAAGTAGAAAATAACATGGCTATGTACAGGGAGTAGAACATATCATGGCTATATACAGGGAGTACCAGTAACGAGTCGATGTGCAGGGATACGAGGTCATTGAGGCATCTATGTACATATAGGTAGGGGTAAAGTGAATAGACAACAGTAAAGATAATATAGATAAACTATTTTTTAAATATTATAGTCTGCAGCTTGTCTTGGGGTATTCTAACTCGGGCGAGCAAAAACAGGAGACTTCCTTAACATCGCTCACCAGCTGTTGTTAACAAAGAGACACACCCCTCCTCCCTTCGTCTTACCCGAGTCTGCCGTCCGGTCTTGACGATGCATAGAAAAACCAGCGAGATGAATAACATCCATGTCCTTGTTCAGCCACAACTCTGAGAAACATAGGACATTACAGTTTTTCAGGTCCCGTTGATAGGATAGTCTTGAACGGAGCTCATCCAGTTGGTTCTCCAGTGACTGCACGTTCGTCAGTAGAACAGAGGGCAATGGCGGTCTTTTTGCTCGTTGAAGTACACATTTCCATCCAAATCAAGGTCAGTGATCGCTGTTCTGATGTCCAGAAGCTGATTTCGGTCATATAAACTTTTAAACGCTATTACACACAAACTTACTCAACATCTGTTGGTCTCTCTGTCAATACACAACACTCCCCTCTCACTTCCACCCATTCCATCCTGTTGTTGGGGAACATAAAGGCAGAGTTGGTGTTGTAATAGCTGGTCTCCCATTCCCCTAATGGGATAACGTGTGTGTGTGTGTGTGTGTTAATCAGTGTGTTTGGTGCCTATTACACTAATCACATCTTTTAGAGGGAGAACGGCTGTCAACAAGCTGACCTCAGCAGGTACACACACAGACACACACAGACACTAGAGCTGGGGCGATAAACTTCAATTATCGACACCGATCACTTATCGCAGGCATTTTGCTGATATGGCACATTACAATAAGTAGCCTATACTAGAGAAATGTGGAGTTTGAAATGAAATAAGTTTGCTAATATGGGTGATTGATGGTTAATGGGACAATTGATGTCTACAACCATCAAACTAGTAGTAGTAGTTTTAAAGGATAATAATTAAAAAAAACTGTGGTGCACATTAATGTTATAAACTGTGGTGCACATTAATGTTATAAACTGTGGTGCACATTAATGTTATAAACTGTGGTGCTCATTAATGTTATAAACTGTGGTGCACATTAATGTTATAAACTGTGGTGCACATTAATGTTATAAACTGTGGTGCACATTAATGTTATAAACTGTGGTGCACATTAATGTTATAAACTGTGGTGCACATTAATGTTATAAACTGTGGTGCACATTAATGTTATAAACTGTGGTGCACATTAATGTTATAAACTGTGGTGCACATTAATGTTATAAACTGTGGTGCACATTAATGTTATAAACTGTGGTGCACATTAATGTTATAAACTGTGGTGGACATTAATGTTATAAACTGTTGTGCACATTTAATGTTATAAACATATGCTTCTATTTATCGTTATTGCATCAATTCATGCAATATATCGCTATATGGATAATTGTCCATATTGCCCAGCGCTAACACACACACACACACACACACACACACACTAATGTGCTGGATCTACAGGGAACGGTGACATAGTACAATAGTACAGACTGTAGTATGTCTGGTAGTGAAGAGTTGACTTACTGCTCTCTGTGTAGAGGTGGATTTCCTGTTAGGTCTAACATTTAGACCGGTCTCTTTCCCATTCGTTTCTGATCAAGTCAAGCTGTTGACTTTTCCCTAAGTTGCTTTTGATGTAGTTTGTCTAATTCTCTCTCCCCGCTCCTTCTAGATCCTCAAGCTGGGTCCAATAGCGGAGTTCCTGAGGAAAGCTCTGGACCCTCCTACAGAGGAGGCTATCACTCTGGCCATCACACACCTGATGGACCTCAATGCCCTGGACCGCTCAGAGGCTCTGACCCCGTTGGGGTTCCACTTGGCCAGGCTGCCTGTAGAGCCTCACATCGGGAAGCTGATTCTGTTCGGAGCTCTGCTGGGCTGTCTGGACCCTGTCCTCACTATCGCTGCCTCTCTCAGCTTTAAGGACCCCTTCTTCATACCAATGGTAATCACACGCACCAACGCAGGCACACACACTCGCACACATTTAGGTGCTCAAATCTCTTCCTCTCTCAGGGTAAGGAGAAGGTGGCAGACATGAGGAGAAGAACTCTGTCCAGAGACTCAAAGAGTGACCACCTCACCATCATCTATGCTTTCACAGTAAGATCCTCTTTTCCCACCTACATCATTAGAGGTCTCGCTCATATCTCCCCAATGGAATAATATCAATGGTTCATTCTGTTTAAAGGATTGCTAACTTGACTGTGTTTAATCTGTCAGGGCTGGGAGGAAGCTAAGCGACGCGGCTACAAGTTTGAACGAGAGTTCTGCTGGGACAACTTCCTGTCAGCCAATACACTCCAGGTGATTCTCATGGCCCACCAATCAGATATCAATTTCAAACCACCATTGGGATGCAGCCTTCGCTTCATATTGAGAATGAGTCTATCTAACCTGTGACCTGTCTGTCTGTCTGTAGATGCTGCACAACATGAAGGCTCAGTTTGCTGAGCACCTGCTGGGGGCTGGCTTCATCAGCAGCAAGAACGCCAAAGACCCTGACTCTAACATCAACTCGGGTGAACTGATTGGATGTATTTTTCTACAATTTGCTAGTCTCTCTCTCTCTCTCCTCTCTCTGCTCTCTCTCTCTCTCGTTTGCTCGCTCCTCTCTCTCTCTCTCTCGTTCGCTCGCTCCTCTCGTTTGCTCGCTCCTCTCTCTCTCTCTCGTTTGCTCGCTCCTCTCTCTCTCTCTCTCGTTCGCTCGCTCCTCTCTCTCTCTCTCTCGCTCCTCTCCTTGCTCGCTCCTCTCTCTCTCTCTCGTTTCGCTCGCTCTCTCTCTCTCTCTCTCTCTCTCGTTCGCTCGCTCCTCTCTCTCTCCTCGCTCTCTCCTCCCTCTCTCTCTCTTGCTCGCTCCTCTCTCTCCTCTCTGCTCGCTCCTCTCTCTCTCTGCTCGGGGTACTCCTTCTCTCTCTCTCTCTCTATCTCTCGCTCCTCTCGCTCCTCTCTCTCTCTCTCTCTGCTCGCTCTCTCTCTCCTCTCTCTCGCTCTCTCTCTTCTCTCCTCTCCTCTCTCTCTCCTCTCTCCTCGTTCGCTCGCTCCTCTCTCTCTCGTCTAGCTCCTCTCTCTCTCTCTCTCTCTCTCTCTCTAGCTCCTCTCTCTCTCTAGCTCCTATCTCTCCTCTCTCTCTCTCTAGCTCCTATCACTCTTTCCATGTCTGACTCTCTCTCTCTCTCCCTCAGAGAATGAGAAGCTGATCAAGGCTGTGATAGTGGCAGGTCTCTACCCCAAAGTGGCCATGATCAAACCCAGTGGCAGCAAGAAGAGACCGTGAGTCAGCATGAACTTACAGTAGCACTCACTCCTATATATATATATATATATATATATATATATATATATATATATATATATATATATATATATATATATATTTAGCACTCACTCATATATATTTAGCACTCCTATATATATATATATATATTATATATATATATATATATATATATATATATATACAGTGAGGGAAAAAAGTATTTGATCCCCTGCTGATTTTGTACGTTTGCCCACTGACAAAGACATGATCAGTCTATAATTTTAATGGTAGGTTTATTTGAACAGTGAGAGACAGAATAACAACAACAAAATCCAGAAAAACGCATGTCAAAAATGTTATCAATTGATTTGCATTTTAATGAGGGAAATAAGTATTTGACCCCTCTGCAAAACATGACTTAGTACGGTGGCAAAATCCTTGTTGGCAATCACAGAGGTCAGACGTTTCTTGTAGTTGGCCACCAGGTTTACACACATCTCAGGAGGGATTTTGTTCCACTCCTCTTTTCAGATTTTCTCCAAGTCATTAAGGTTTCGAGGCTGACGTTTGGCAACTCGAACCTACAGCTCCCTCCACAGATTTTCTATGGGATTAAGGTCTGGAGACTGGCTAGGCCACTCCAGGAGTTTAATGTACTTCTTCTTGAGCCACTCCTTTGTTGCCTTGGCCGTGTGTTTTGGGTCATTGTCATGCTGGAATACCCATCCACGACCCATTTTCAATGCCCTGGCTGAGGGAAGGAGGTTCTCACCCAAGATTTGACGGTACATGGCCCCGTTCATCGTCCCTTTGATGCGGTGAAGTTGTCCTGTCCCCTTAGCAGAAAAACACCCCCAAAGCATAATGTTTCCACCTCCATGTTTGACAGTGGAGATGGTGTTCTTGGGGTCATAGGCAGCATTCCTCCTCCTCCAAACATGGCGACTTGAGTTGATGCCAAAGAGCTCAATTTTGGTCTCATCTGACCACAACACTTTCACCCAGTTCTCCTCTGAATCATTCAGATGTTCATTGGCAAACTTCAGACGGGCATGTATATGTGCTTTCTTGAGCAGGGGGACCTTGCGGGCGCTGCAGGATTTCAGTACCCCATACAGACATGGGTATGGGGTACACTGTGTTGGTTCGTGGGCTCTGCTTAGCCTCCAAGCAGACTTATCCAAAGAAACAGTTTGTTACATTTTAACATTTACATTTTAGTCATTTAGCAGAAGCTCTTATCCAGAGCGACTTACAGGAGCAATTACATTTACATTTTACATTTTAGTCATTTAGCAGACGCTCTTATCCAGAGCGACTTACATCCAGAGTGAGTGCATACATTATTATTATTTTTATTTTTTTATACTGTCCCCCTGTGGGAATCGAACCCACAACCCTGGCGTTGCAAACGCCATGCTCTACCAACTGAGCTACATCCCTGCCGGCCATTCCCTCCCCTACCCTGGACGACGCTGAGCCAATTGTGCGCCACCCCATGGGTCTCCCGGTCACGGCCGGCTACGACAGAGCCTGGATTCGAACCAGGATCTCTAGTGGCACAGCTAGCACTGCAATGCAGTGCCTTAGACCACTGCGCCACTCGGGAGCCCAGGGGTGGCGCACAATTGGCTAAGCGTCGTGCAGGGTAGGGGAGGGAATGGCCGGCAGGGATGTAGCTCAGTTGGTAGAGCATGGCGTTTGCAACGCCAGGGTTGTGGGTTCGATTCCCACAGGGGGACAGTATAATTTTTTAAAAATAATAATCATAATAATGTATGCACTCACTAACTGTAAGTCGCTCTGGATAAGAGCGTCTGCTAAATGAATAAAATGTAAAATGTAAATGTTATTGCTCCTGTAAGTCGCTCTGGATAAGAGCTTCTGCTAAATGACTAAAAATGTAAATGTAAATGTAAGAAAGCACATATACAGGGTTAAGTGCCTTGCTCAAGGGCACACCGACAGATTTTTCACCTAGTTGGCTTGGGGATTAGAACCAGCGACCTTTCGGTTACTGGCACAACGGTTACTGCCCTTCTTGAGCAGGGGGACCTTGCGGGCGCTGCAGGATTTCAGTCCTTCACGGCGTAGTGTGTTACCAATTGTTTTCTTGGTGACTATGGTCCCAGCTGCCTTGAGATCATTGACAAGATCCTCCCATGTAGTTCTGGGCTGATTCCTCACCGTTCTCATGATCATTGCATGGAGCCCTAGGCCGAGGGAGATTGACAGTTATTTTGTGTTTCTTCCATTTGCGAATAATCGCACCAACTGTTTTCACCTTCTCACCAAGCTGCTCGGCGATGGTCTTGTAGCCCATTCCAGCCTTGTGTAGGTCTACAATCTTGTCCCTGACATCCTTGGAGAGCACTTTGGTCTTGGCCATGGTGGAGAGTTTGGAATCTGATTGATGGATTGCTTCTGTGGACAGGTGTCTTTTATACAGGTAACAAGCTGAGGTTAGGAGCACTCCCTTTAAGAGTGTGCTCCTAATCTCAGCTCTTTACCTGTATAAAAGACACCTGGGAGCCAGAAATCTTTCTGATTGAGAGGGGGTCAAATTCTTATTTCCCTCATTAAAATGCTAATCAATTTATAACATTTTTTACATGCATTTTTTTTTTTTTTGTTATTCTGTCTCTCACTGTTCAAATAAACCTACCATTAACATTATAGACTGATCATTTCTTCGTCAGTGGGCAAACGTACAAAATCAGCAGGGGATCAAATACTTTTTTTCCTCACTGTATATAGCACTCACTCATACAGTATATAGCACTCACTCCTATCTATCTATCTATCTATATATATATATATACACACACACACACATACACACATACATATACAGTTGAAGTCGGAAGTTTACATACATCTTAGCCAAATACATTTAAACTCAGTTTTTCACAATTCCTGACATTTAATCCTAGTAAAAATTCCCTGTTTTAGGTCAGTTAGAATCAACACTTAATTTTAAGAATGTGAAATGTCAGAATAATAGTAGAGAGAATTATTTCTTTCAGCTTTTATTTCTTTTATCACATTCCCAATGGGTCAGAAGTGTACATACACTTAATTAGTATTTGGTAGCATTGCCTTTAAATTGTTTAACTTGGGTCAAACATTTTGGGTAGCCTTCCACAAGCTTCCCACAGTAAGTTGGGTGAATTTTGGCCCATTCCTCCTGACAGAGCTGGTGTAACTGAGTCAGGTTGTAGGCCTCCTTGCTCGCACACGCTTTTTCAGTTCTGCCCACACATTCTCTATAGGATTGAGGTCAGGGCTTTGTGATGGCCACTCCAATTCCTTGACTTTGTTGTCCTTAAGCCATTTTGCCACAACTTTGGAAGTATGCTTGGGGTCATTGTCCATTTGGAAGATCCATTTGCGGCCAAGCTTTAACTTCCTGACTGATGTCTTGAGATGTTGCTTCAATATATCCACATAATTTTCCTTCCTCATGATGCCATGTATTTTGTGAAGTGCACCAGTCCCTCCTGCAGCAAAGCACCCCCACAGCATGATGCTGCCACCCCCGTGCTTCACAGTTGGGATGGTGTTCTTCGGCTTGCAAGACACCCCGTTTTTCCTCCAAACATAACGATGGTCATTATGCCAAACAGTTCTATTTTTGTTTCATCAGACATTTACATTTACGTCATTTAGCAGACGCTCTTATCCAGAGCGACTTACAAATTGGTGCATTCACCTTATAGCCAGTGGGATAACCACTTTACAATATGTTTATTTATTTTTTTGTGGGGTAAGGGGGGGGTAGAAGGATTACATTATCCTATCCCAGGTATTCCTTAAAGAGGTGGGGTTTCAAGTGTCTCCGGAAGGTGGTGAGTGACTCCGCTGTCCTGGCGTCGTGAGGGAGCTTGTTGCACCATTGGGGTGCCAGAGCAGCGAACAGTTTTGACGGGGCTGAGCGGGAACTGTGCTTCCGCAGAGGTAGGGGGGCCAGCAGGCCAGAGGTGGATGAACGCAATGCCCTCGTTTGGGTGTAGGGACTGTTCATGCCTGAAGGTACGGAGGTGCCGTTCCCCTCACAGCTCCATAGGCAAGCACCATGGTATTGTAGCAGATGCGAGCTTCAACTGGAAGCCAGTGGAGTGTGCGGAGGAGCGGGGTGACGTGAGAGAACTTGGGAAGGTTGAACACACGAGTTGTAGGGGTTTAATGGCACAGGCAGGGAGCCCAGCCAAAAGCGAGTTGCAGTAATCCAGACGGGAGATGACAAGTGCCTGGATTAGGACCTGTGCCGCTTCCTGTGTAAGGCAGGGTCGTACTCTCCGAATGTTGTAGAGCATGAACCTACAGGATCGGGTCACCGCCTTGATGTTAGCGGAGAACGACAGGGTGTTGTCCAGGGTCACTTCAAGGCTCTTTGCATTCTGGGAGGAGGACACAATGGAGTTGTCAATCGTGATGGCGAGATCATGGAACGGGCAGTCCTTCCCCGGGATGAAGAGCAGCTCCGTCTTGCCGAGGTTCAGCATTGAGGTGGTGATCCGTCATCCACACTGATATGTCTGCCAGACATGCAGAGATGCGATTCGCCACCTGGTTATCAGAAGGGGGAAAGGAGAAGATTTAGTTGTGTGTCGTCTGCGTAGCAATGATAAGAGAGGCCATGTGAAGATATGACAGAGCCAAGTGACTTGGTTTATAGCGAGAATAGGAGAGGGCCTAGAACTGAGCCCTGGGGGACACCAGTGGTGAGAGCACGTGGTGCGGAGACAGATTCTCGCCACGCCACCTGGTAGGAGCGACCTGTAACAGGTCTCCAAAAGGTATGATCTTTGTCCCCATGTGCAGTTGCAAACCGTAGTCTGGCTTTTTTTATGGCGGTTTTGGAGCAGTGGCTTCTTCCTTGCTGAGCGGCCTTTCAGGTTATGTCGATATAGGACTCGTTTTACTGTGGATATAGATACTGTGGTACCTGTTTCCTCCAGCATCTTCACAAGGTCCTTTGCTGTTGTTCTTGGATTGATTTGCACTTTTCGCACCAAAGTACGTTCATCTCCAGGAGACAGAACGCGTCTCCTTCCTGAGCGGTATGACGGCTGCGTGGTCCCATGGTGTTTATACTTGCGTACTATTGTTTGTACAGATGAACGTGGTACCTTCAGGCTTTTGGAAATTGCTCCCAAGGATGAACCAGACTTGTGGAGGTCTACTATTTTTTTCTGAGGTCTTGGCTAATTTCTTTTGATTTTCCCATGATGTCAAGCAAAGAGGCACTGAGTTTGAAGGTAGGCCTTGAAATACATCCACAGGTACACCTCCAATTGACTCAAATTTTCTGGAACTTTCCAAGCTGTTTAAAGGCACAGTCAACTTAGTGTATGTAAACTTCTGACCCACTGGAATTGTGATACAGTGAATTATAAGTGAAATAATCTGTCTGTAAACAATTGTTGGAAAAATTACTTGTGTCATGCACAAAGTAGATGTCCTAACCGACTTGCCAAAACTATAGTTTTTTTAAAATAAATTTGTGGAGTGGTTGAAAAATGAGTTTTAATAACTGCAACCTACATGTATGTAAACTTCTGACTTCAACTTTAGCACTCACTCATACAGTATATAGCACTCACTCGTATATATCACTCACTCCTATATAGCACTCACATATAACACCCATTAGCTATAACACCCATTAGCTACCAGGGACAAGTGCTGAACGATTAACCAAAATGTCGGTTATTTTTTTATTTTTAAACCACTAATTGGCCGACGTCGGTTCAGTTATTTGAATTCCATTTGGTTCTGTTTTTATCGGTGAGCTCAATGTGCCCATCGCACAGTTTCTCTAGAGATCAATCAGACCCAGCCTGAATTGTGCGATGTAGTAGGGAGCTGTAGTTTACAACAGGCCGATATTCGACACATCTACTTGTCCAGTCTGTATTTATTTTTACAACTGCTACTACGGAAGAGGGAAGAGTGCGCGATCATGAGCGAATATAGAGAGCAGCTGTTGCTTAATGAGGTATTTCTACCTGAAAATACATGATCTAAGTGATTGGTAGTTGGTATTCAGCTGTCATAAAAGTACTATATGCCTCATTTACTTTGAAGAACTACTAAAATCGTGATTTAGTCAGACACCACAGGCTGCAGCTCTATAGAGATGAGATGATGACTTGGAATGAAATAATAAAGTCATCAAATAAAACTAATGTAATATACACAACACTGAATATTTTATTAAAGTAATGTGAATAAATGAATGTTAATTAAGCAATAAGGCCCGAGGGGGTATGGCCAATATACCATAGCTAAGGGATGTTCTTAAGCACGACGCAACACAGAGAGCCTTTAATGTTTAAAAAAATTATCGAAACCGAAAACCGTGGTAATTTTTTAATAATCGAACCAAAACGACCTCAAAAAACACTAATCGCTCAGCACTAGTACAGACAGACACTGGCAGTGACAAGAGGACACCCCAGATTCTGCAGAGGAAGTGAAATTCACTCAGACCTGAAAAGTACTCTTTGTCAACTTCCTATTGATTTGTACCTGAGAAGATCCCCAGCCCACAATGGATGGCAGACCATATGCCCAAAACCCAGCCAGCCAGCCAGACAGATGCATCAATAACTCATCATCACACTTAGCAGACAGCTGCGAAATAGACCTACGATCAAGCCTTGAGGCAGTGCACTGATAGTTAGTTGTATTTAGATTAAAACTTTAGCCAAAGATCAATAGTCATAAAACGTTATTCTGTAGCTACGGACAATACCACACACACCCACACACACACACAGTAATACACCCCCCTCCCCCCTCTCTTCTCTCCAGGGTAAGGGTGTATACTAAAACTGATGGGAAGGTGTGTATCCACCCCCCTCCCCCCTCTCTTCTCTCCAGGGTGAGGGTGTATACTAAAACTGATGGGAAGGTGTGTATCCACCCCAAGTCAGTGAATGCTGAAGAGACCCAGTTTAACTACACATGGCTCATCTATCACCTCAAGATGAGGACCAGCAGTGTGAGTATACGGTACAGCACACACACACAGCACTGTTGGACCATTTAACCTTACAGAGATGGTTCACTCCAAAAATCAGTTTTCTCAGAACTTTTCTTTCCTATCGCAGAATAATGAGTACCAATCTTTTGATTATGCGTGCTCCCGATGCATTTAGTAGGATACACCAGAGGGTGAGGGATGTTGTGAGTTCCAGCCAGAGCGGAGTGTTGTTTGTGACTGTTTCACTGAGTGGGGGGGGGGGGGGGTAAAGGTTAACTCTGGTGCCATTTTTAGACATTATTAATATTTGATTTAAACCAGTGCCTTTCAACTCCCTCCCAAAGGCCCTGGCACATCAAAGCTCGCAGACAGTACCAGGGAAGAGGAACAGTCACAACAGTCTGTCCTCTTTCTACCCTGCCGCACTGAATGTTATCAGTTAGAGCAGAGAAGGGCTACTGGCGGCGGAAATGTCGAATCCTACTACACCGGCTCTGACGCTCGTCGGATGTGGCAGGGCTTGCAAACTATCACGGATTACAAAGGGAAACCCAGCCAGTGATGCGAGCGTACCAGACGAGCTAAATACCGTCTATGCTCGCTTCGAGGCTAGCAACACTGAACCATGCATGAGAGCAATTCATATACCGCCCTAACAGATACACAGATGACGCAATCTATATTGCACTCCACACTGCCCTTTCCCACCTGGACAAAAGGAATACCTATGTGAGAATGCTATTCATTGACTACAGCTCAGCGTTCAACACCATAATGCCCTGCAAGCTCATCACTAAGCTAAGGACCTTGGGACTGAACACCTCCCTCTGCAACTGGATCCTGGACTTCCTGACGGGCCGCCCCCAGGTGGTAAGGGTAGGCAACAACACATCCGCCACTGTGACCCTCAACACGGGGGCCCCTCAGGGGTGCGTGCTTAATCCCCTCCTGTAATCCCTGTTCACCCACGACTCCTTGGCGCATTACGCATTACGTTTGCTGACGGCACAACGGTGGTAGGCCTGATCACCGACAACGATGAGACAGCCTATAGGGAGGAGGTCCGAGACCTGGCAGTGCTGATCGTGGACTACAGCAAATGACGGGGCTGTAGTAGAGACGGTCAAGAGCATCCGACCGTAAGGCACTACAGAGGGTAGTGCGTACGACCCAGTACATCACTGGGGCCGAGCTCCCTGCTACCCAGGACCTCTATACCAGGCGGTGTCAGAGGAAGGCCCTAAAAATTGTCAAAGACTCCAGCCACCCAAGTCATAGACTGTTCTCTCTGCTACCGCATGGTATCTTAGTTAGTCCGGGTAGCTATTGGTTAACTATTTAACTATCTGCATTTACCCTCTTTGCACTAACTATTTTGACCCATCACATACACTGCTGTTACTGTTTATTATCTATCCTGTTGTCTAGTCACTTTATCCCTACCTATATATACATATCTACCTCAATTACCTCGTACCTCTGCACATCGACTTGGTACTGGTACTCCGTGTATAAAGCCAAGTTATCGTTCCTCATTGTGGATTTATTCCTCGTGTTATTATGTTCTATTATTTCTCTTTTTACCTCTCTGTATTGTTGGGAACGGCCCGTAATAAAGTATTTCACTGTTAGTCTACACCTGTTGTTTACCAACCATGTGACAAATAATATTTGATTTGTGCCCAGATCTTCCTGTATGTGTGTGTGTGTGTTAATGCTGTGTCGCTGTCTGTCTCCAGATCTTCCTGTACGACTGTACGGAGGTATCTCCGTTCTCCCTGCTGTTCTTCGGAGGTGACGTCACCATCCAGATGGATCAGGACCAGGAGACCATCGCTGTGGATGACTGGATCGTCTTCCAGTCCCCCGCACGCATCGCTCACCTCGTCAAGGTACACGAACACACACACACACAAACACGCAAACAAACACACACACCTGACCGTTTTCCTTATCCGCCTCACCTTGTAGAATCTGAAGAAGGAGCTGGACTCTCTATTGGAAGAGAAGATCCGAAGCCCCGCCCCTGTGGACTGGAGCGACCGCCAATCCAAAGACTGTGCTGTCATCACAGCCATCATAGACCTCATCACCACCCAGGAGAGGCCCAATGTTAACGCGGCTAACACTAGTTGGAGGAACACTGCCCCTAGAGGACGTCGCCAGTATTACAGCAATGATGATGATGAGTACTAAAGATGGTGCATCTCTTCTCAACCCAGAGAAAAGAGAGAGAGATGGAAAGAGGTCTCAACTTTGTATCTCTGAAATAATGGCGTCTATCTCCATTTGAACGTAAATGTTCTTCTTTTTGTGTTTGAATAAAGTGTCAAGCTAATGTCGGTGATTTACCGCCACTTGCAGTGCTGGAGTCTTAAACTAAATATTGTGTATCATTCATTTGTGGCCACTAGATGGTGGCGATATAGCTTAACGCCATTTAACAACTAGGCAAACCAATTTGAAGAAGACAATGCTCTCTGGTCGTTGGCTGATGACTCCCATAGGAATCCACACCCAGTTGGCTACTATAAAATGGTAGAAGCCCTCAATGGCAATGTTCATGCGAAAATGTGTTTCCAAGTAGAGATCTCTATGTCTTAGGCACATTTACACATTTCCATTAGATTGGAATCCTCCCATGTACAGTCAGGATGGTGTGTGAAGAAATCAAGGACTGGTCTGAACGCTGTCCCCAAACGCCAACCATTTTAATTTAATTCTATAAGCCAACTGGAAAAGGCTGAGCAGTGGCTGACAATGTATTTTTGCAGTATTGCATTTGTTATGAACAATGTTATGTAAAAGTAAATTGTACTGAATGCTGTTTTGTTGATATTGCTTGACATTCTCACATTGTCAAATGGCCTACTTGGCTTACATTCTTATGTTGTAATATTCACATTGTTTTCTTTTCAGTTTTTGTTCAATTTGTTCAAATATTAATCTTTCTCCCTAAAGCTGAACCATTAAAGCTGACCTTATTGCAGTGTGACATTAGTCTTTTCTAGTGTGGTGTGAAGTGGGAGAGATTCACATTATAGCGCGCTTGACATTTAAAGGGAATTTCTAATTGAGCCGACATCTGCAGCGTTTACCTTGAATGTGATCTCTACGACCGTGGAAATATTGCCTTTGCGGTGCATAGCAGAAAAGGGGCGATCAGATTGAAGTTAAGTTAGTAGCAGCTGTAATACATATTCCAGAATCTAAAACTTTCCTGAATTGGGTCCTTATTAAAACAGCCATGATAAATGTACATCGGTGTTATCCAACTAAGAAACAGTTGGTACATAAACCAGATGACATCCTACAATAAAGAGATTCTCTGGTACTTTTTAGCCAGTAGTCCTGAAAGTAGCCCCACAGGCCAAAAGTGGTCCCCGAAAATTGCTGATTACATCACGTCATTGCTCTCTCGCTCTGCTGTGTGTGATTCTTGCTAGCTGTCACTCAAATGGCGATGGGGATGAATCTCATTGGCTAGAACTCAAATCGCTAGAGGGGAAATGGCACATCTTCCAGAAAATACTATTTTCAAACTAGGTATTTTGTGGCTGAGGTAAAACAGTAATTCTGCTCATAGATTATGCATGTATTAACTACATTGACATGTCCAGCCCAAAGCGGGAGATTAAAAAAATACTTACTACTCGCCAAAGTACCAGAGCATGTCTTTAATATAATCTATTTGTGCAGTTATATCTTGAACATCAGAATTATGCATCCATCTGTCTAATCTCTTAACAGGAGGTACAGTTACAGCAGTAGTAAAGTTTGAATTCAAAACAGCTTCACTGAATGTTACCAATTAAAACCAAAACATTCTCTCTCTCGGACTGGTCCTGAGTCATAACAAATGTCTGCTCCCTGGTCCCCAGCCATAACATATCTGTTCCCTGGTCCCCAGCCATAATAGATGTCTGTTCCCTGGTCCCCTAAATTCACTGAGCCATTCAAAAGATACATCAGCATTCTGAAAGAGAACAACAGATCGCAAATACGCCATAGCACTTTTATTAACAATAATTAGATTAAATATCTAAAAGGCATCATCTGCAATATAAATCTATAGCTGTGGATTACATACATTTAAACAGGTTATTAGTTACATATTTACATTGGTTTAAATGCGTATTGTATCACAGCTTTTCCCCCTGAGTGCAAACGCAAAGCTTTTTGTCTGGGTCAGACCAGATGAAGAGTAGTGGTCTGGTTTGATGAACGGTGTTACAACAGGAAGCTGATCAGGCCATTATGTGTTTCCTTTAGCGATGACAACATTACACACTTAGCAGATGAATCACGCTGGACAATCATGTTAAAACCTCCTCCGGCTTTCCCAGTTTTAGAACAGAGAGCGTCACACCATTTCATTTTCTCTCTTGCTGCTCGTCACAGAAATCATGAGGGTATTTTTTATTTTTTTTTAAACGTCCAGCTCTGATATCACTGGGCCTTCTAAAAGCCACTCCAGGGCATCATCACACCCAGAGGCAGGACTGACGGAGGTCTGCGGGACGGAAATGGTTCTATTTATGTAAGGTGACATTAAGATGGAGATAAAGTGGCCAGACATTTACATTTTAGTCATTTAGCAGACGCTCTTATCCAGAGCGACTTACAGTTAGTGAATACATATTGTTTTATACTGGCCCCCCGTGGGAATCGAACCCACAACCCTGGCATTGCAAACGCCATGCTCTATCAACTGAGCTACATCCCTGCCGGCCATTCCCTCCCCTACCCTGGACGACGCTGGGCCAATTGTGCGCCGCCCATGAGTCTCCCGGTCGCGGCCGGCTGCGACAGAGCCTGGATTCGAACCAGGATCTCTAGTGGCACAGTTAGCTCTGCGATGCAGTGCCTTAGACCACTGCGCCACTCAGACCCTAGGAACTGTGTACAGCTGAAATAACTGCATATGTATCCATGGTTCAATTCAACCAAGCCTTACCAGAGGGCCAGGTGAAGCTATGCCCATATTGCTGATACCTGTTCAATAGTGTTAGGTATCTAAAATGGCTAGGGGTTGGGATTAGCGCCTGATTGTGGGAGTTTCTTTTTTTCCTTTGTAGGCCATCACAACATTCAGCCACACTATACTGTAACCTAACCAGAGGGACGTCTGGAAACTGGACCCATTTTGGCTCCTTCCATTCAGCCTGGTCAGCAGTCACACAGCCTTCTACTAGCCACACAGGGACGTCTGGAAACTGGACCCATTTTGGCTCCTTCCATTCAGCCTGGTCAGCAGTCACACAGCCTTCTACTAGCCACAAAGGGACGTCTGGAAACTGGACCCATTTTGGACCGTCGTCACGTTCAGTTACATTACAAAAGGCCTCCTAGCCCCACACACACACACACACAAGTGTCTGACGTACAGTGCCATTTGTGTTTCTACATTGAGCCTCTTGCCCATCAGTCAACACACACTAGAACCTGACCACAGAGCAGAAGTGAAACTGAACTGTGTCACATCACGACAACCTGGCACTTTAAAAAGCATGACAGAAAAATATACTAATATAAAATGTTAGTTATGCAGTACAGAAGGTAAGCATCATTCCTGGAAATTCCTGGGGAGTCTTTCAGAAGGAAATAGTTCATAAAATGAATAAATGTTCTATTAGTTTTAATGCAACCTCTTATTATAGGTGACCTGTCCACTCTGTATGTGGCAGTTTTCAACTTTGACCCCAGCACATCCTGTGTGTGTGTCTAAGGGGGATGTCCTTCGGGGCCTAAAAAGCAGTCACACAGCAGTGGTTGGACAGTCTCCCATCAGTGGGAGGAATCAATGTGTTGTTGACAGGTCATAGGGTCACAGTCAGCTGACATACAAACAGCATACATACATTTGTCTGTTGACCACAGAGAGATTCTATTGGTGCATTTAGTGGCAGTCAGCACTCTCATTGGTTGATAGTGCTTGAAGGCAGCTCTATGGTGTATTCAGTCGCTGGCGGAAAGAGCTCACACCTTGCTCTGTTGACCAAGGAGCCTTTCTATTGGTGTATTCAGTGGAGGTCCGTCGCTGGTGTATTTAAATGGGTGGAGCCTGCAGTTACAGCTCACACATTGGTTTCCAGCCCCTGGAGGCGGTCCATCCTCTGCATGTTGCGCTCAATAGTGGCCTGGCACGTGATTGGTTCAGCACATTCTGACAGGAACCAACCCCTCTCGCCATCACGGAGTCGCTCGCCCTCATACCAGCCTAAAAGAGAGAGATTTATTTATCCTTCAGAAAATCCCTTCACAGGGCTACAGCGCCACAGGCCTGAAGAAAATAGTTTCCTGTTCAAAGCAGGAAGTGAGCTCTCAGCCAGCTGTTGGACTCTTAAATGACATCTGTTTGATGCTCTATTCTGTCTGTTCTAGAATGCCCTTTCACATGAAAGAGATGGTTGCCATAGAGACACAAAGGGAAATTACCTTTAACCTTAAGAGTGACTGTATACGCATCATCAAACATCTCTGGTCTGACGCCACACAGGTAAATCTATTTCAATGATTCTCCAGGGAGAAGACAAATAGGAATGAGAGAGAGAGAGACCGAGAGAGCGAGAGCGAGAGAGAGCGAGTGTAACAGTGTAACGTACCATCCTCCACAGTCTGTGACACCAGGACCACGTCAGCCACCTGCAGTGAAAGCTCATCAGGCTGCTTGGCTGTGTACGTCCTTGTCACCTCCACCTGCATGGCATCTGGGGCAACACAAAAACAACACAGAGTTTACACTAACCCTGGGGCAACACAAAAACAACACAGAGTTTACACTAACCCTGGGGCAACACAAAAACAACAGAGTTTACACTCTAACCCTGGGGCAACACAAAAACAACAGAGTTTACACTAACCCTGGGGCAACACAAAAACAACAGAGTTTACACTCTAACCCTGGGGCAACACAGTTTACCTTTCAGTCCTGGCTTTTATTTTATTATTTTATTTAACCTTTAAGCCAGTTGAGAACAAGTTCTCATTTACAACTCATTATAAACTAGTTCTAAAAGTTATAGTACTTGTATTTGATCCTAGCAGTCCTTTTTGTTGTCTATTATGTAAGTTTAATAGAAAAGCCCTGAAAATGTTATGACTCATATATGCCTTTACTACCAATGCACAATGACTGAATAATTATTCAACCAGTTAGACAGGTAGTACTTGCTAATGCTCTACTGCAGGCTAATTCAAAATCTGGACCTCGAAACCAGTTCCACTGCTGATTTTCATTCTTCCTCTCTAATTAAAGGGTTAGTTTGGGATTTGCTAACTAGCGTTAGCACAATGACTGGAAGTTAGTGGGAACAGCTGTTCCTGTAGACTTCCAGTCATTGTGCTAACGCTAGTTAGCATTGGCTCACGAAAGTACCTCTAACTTCCTTCATACTGGATGCAGATACATAAACATGGTATCCACACGTTCATCTGACTCTGGGGATGTAGATAAAGAACCTAATTGCCAAAATCCCAAAGTATACTTTTAAGGACTGATTAAGACCTTGAATAAATGATCAGATATAACAGAAAAACAGCAGTACTCCGGACCTACAGGCTTGGATTTGAATACCCCTGTCCTACTGTATATGCCCCCAGACAGTGATTGGGAGACTGTTCTACTAATCTACCACAAGGTGGTGCTGTCTGTCTGCATGTGAGTTCCACTGACCAGTCAAGTTTGATAGTGCTGTCTGAGTGAAGTGAGAGTGTGTGTGTGGTGCTGAACTCACTTGTTCGGTCTTGGTTCTTCTTGTCATTGCTGCTCTGACCCAGAGCACTGATCCAGCGAGCACGCTCATTCCTGTGGGACAAACACACACAGCATTTTTCAATACTTTCTCTCTTACTTGTTAATGAGTCATTTAGCGCCATAACAATATAGAAGGTAATGTGGTCAACATGGGGTTTTTCTAATGCCACTAATTGCCACTGCAGTCTTGCAGGAAAAAGCACAACTTTACTTCAGTTTGACTTTCCTTTTTTCACCATGGTTGATACTATCAACACAGGGGCCTGTTTTAAGGAACTAATATAATCAAGGAATCCATTTGACATTTACATTTTAGTCATTAAGCAGACGCTCTTTTTTCAGCGTGACGTAGGATACAATGCAGAGGACAAACAGGGAACGTATTGAGATACAACCTCACAGCATCACAAACAACAACCTCACAGCATCACAAACAACAACCTCACAGCATCACAAACAACAACCTCACAGCATCACAAACAACAACCTCACAGCATCACAACAAACAACCTCACAGCATCACAAACAACAACCTCACAGCATCACAAACAACAACCTCACAGCATCACAACAACAACCTCACAGCATCAAACAAACAACCTCACAGCATCACAAACAAACAACCTCACAGCATCACAAACAACAAACCTCACAGCATCACAAACACAACCTCACAGCATCACAAACAACCTCCAGCATCACAAACAACCAACCTCACAGCATCACAAACAACAAACCTCACAGCATCACAAACAACAAACCTCACAGCATCAACCAAACAACTCTCACAGCATCACAAACAACAACCTCACAGCATCACAAACAACAACCTCACAGCATCAAACAACAACCTCACAGCATCACAAACAACAATCTCACAGCATCACAAACAACAACCTCACAGCATCACAAACAACAACCTCACAGCATCACAAACAACAACCTCACAGCATCACAAACAACAACCTCACAGCATCAAACAACAACCTCACAGCATCAAACAACAACCTCACAGCATCAAACAACAACCTCACAGCATCAAACAACAACCTCACAGAATCGCAAAGCAAATAAAGTAGTGCACTGATTACCTCAGGATGTCTAACCTGTTTCCCTCTCCCACCCCACTCCTTATGTCCTTAGTTTCTGACTCAATTCACTTAGAATAAGATGCATGAACAACAGTCAGTCATGGTTGTTGAAACACGAACACACACAAAGCACCATCAGAGAAACACAATACATCACACAGAGAGGAAGACATCAACAGCTTTATTAGTCCATTAAGGAGAAATGCGTTGTCATCCACCTCTCCCTCCCAGTCCTTGTCCGTGAGAGAGAGAGGGAGAACAGAGGGAACACAGGGGTTTTGATTCAGTTGAAAAGGGACAAAGGTTAATTTACATTTTAGTCATTTAGCAGACGCTCTTATCCAGAGCGACTTACAGTTAGTGAGTGCATACATTTTTTTTTTTTTCATACTGGCCCCCCATGGGAATCGAACCCACAACCCTGGCTTTGCAAGCGCCATGCTCTACCAACTGAGCTACACGGGGCCTAATTCACAGGAAAGGAACAGAGTAGCTTTTAGTTTGTGTCTCTGGTGTATGGGAGGAGGGGCACGGGTCAGGTTTCCCCAGGTAACTCTACTTGCCCACACCAATGAAAGAGAGACCCATATTTATGTTTATTTATTTTCCCATTTGTACTTTAACTATTTGCACATTGTTACAACACTGTATATATATATACACATAATATGACATCTTTATTCTTTTGGAACTTCTGAGTGTAATGTTTACTGTTAATATTTATTGTTTACTATCTACTTCACTTGCTTTGGCAACGTTAACATGTTTCCCATACCAATAAAGCCCTTACATTAGAGAGAGAGAGAGAGAGAGAGAAAGAGAAAGAGAGCGAAAGAGAGAGAGAGAGAGAGAATATAGTGATTCATAGAGAGGGAGTGAACTAGATTGACAGATTGAGAGAGAAAAAGAAAGAAAGCCCGGGTGGAAAGAGAATGAAACATAGCGAGAGGGGACAGAGGGGTGCACTTTCTGTCTCACCCCTTCACCCCCACCGTGGACAGCCAGCCAGGACCAGGAGTCCCAAAGTACACCCTATTCCCTATGTAGTGCATTCATTTTGACCAGGCCCCATAGGACTCTGGTCAAACGTAGTGCTGTATGTAGGGAACAGACTCGGAGATACTGACCCAGAACCCCACTACCGGTCAGACCAGGCAGAGTGAATGGAGTCTGTGTGGATCATCTCAACAAGGACACGGGGCACAAAAGAACTCCCTGACTCAGACTTCCATCATTCCATTATTCCGTTTCCCATTCCAATTCTGTTCCGGCTTAATCCTGGAATCTTCCCCCCCTAAGAACACACCATGTCAGCACCTAACTGTACAGGACAGCAATTTCATGTCTCAACAGGATTTAACCTGCTCATATACCCTGAATAATCACTCACAATTAATGTAACTCCACGGTTGGTTTTAGCGACTCTCTAAAAAGTGGTGTTCAAATGCAGTATGTCGCTGTCTCTACTGTTATCACCCTAGTGAAGTCACCTGTACTAAAGTCATCTAGGTCAGGTGCTCAGCCACATACTATGGCAGTGTCCTATGGTCCCTTGCATGTCTGAGGCTCAACAGGACCACAACTATCATCCAGGACATTTCGCTATGATCAAGCATTCTTTACGACCACGCGATTGGATGGTTGCAGGTGGTCGACGTGACCACAAATACATCCTTATCTATCCAGTGAATGGAAACTGTAATGGTGTATTAGCTACGGTTCAGGGACTGAAGGAAATATACAGGGTTTGTTCCCTGGCTGCTACAGGTGAACCTGCACTGAGTCACAACACACTGGAGGACAGCAGAAAACACACACCTGTGTGTGTCTCTGAGTAACTGAGCGTTTGTGTGGCTGTATGAGTCTAAGGGAGACGTGGGAATGACACATTGCTGTGTGTAGCGTTCCCACGATAAAACATGCCAGCTGAGGTATAAGCACTATTAATACACACTCTCATTCATATTAGTAAAGGCATCAACACACACATTCCTGTTGGAACACACTCACAGCCACATACAGGCATCTTATGTGTGCGCCATGATTTAATGTGTGGAATGGGAGGCACATAGCCTCAAGCTCTCTGTGTGTGTGTGTGTGTGTGTGTGTGTGTGTGTGTGTCTAAGTGTGTGTATAACAGGCGCATCCTTCCCTCTTTCAAATGTCTACACCTCATCCACCATTTGAATTAATACAATATCAGACCATTCAAGGTTATACATGCCTAAACTATTAATCACTATATGAAAATACCATGAGCCAGGAATCAAAACTATTGTGAGAGGTTCATGTTTCACATTGAGACAGAAATTAAAATGGAGAAAAGGTTCCATGTGGAAAGCAGTTGTTATGAATGTAGTGAGACTGGAATGACTGGAGTCCAATAGAGAGAGGCTGTCAGAGAGACTGGATCTAGACTGACTGGAGTTTAGTAGAGAGAGGCTGTCAGAGAGACTGGATCTAGACTGACTGGAGTTTAGTAGAGAGAGAGGCTGTCAGAGAGACTGGATCTAGACTGACTGGAGTTTAGTAGAGAGAGGCTGTCAGAGAGACTGGATCTAGACTGACTGGAGTTTAGTAGAGAGACTGGATCTAGACTGACTGGAGTTTAGTAGAGAGAGGCTGTCAGAGAGACTGGATCTAGACTGACTGGAGTTTAGTAGAGAGACTGGATCTAGACTGACTGGAGTTTAGTAGAGAGAGGCTGTCAGAGAGACTGGATCTAGACTGACTGGAGTTTAGTAGAGAGAGGCTGTCAGAGAGACTGGATCTAGACTGACTGGAGTTTAGTAGAGAGACTGGATCTAGACTGACTGGAGTTTAGTAGAGAGACTGGATCTAGACTGACTGGAGTTTAGTAGAGAGACTGGATCTAGACTGACTGGAGTTTAGTAGAGAGAGGCTGTCAGAGAGACTGGATCTAGACTGACTGGAGTTTAGTAGAGAGAGGCTGTCAGAGAGACTGGATCTAGACTGACGAGTTTAGTAGAGAGAGGCTGTCAGAGAGACTGGATCTAGACTGACTGGAGTTTAGTAGAGAGAGGCTGTAAGAGAGACTGGATCTAGACTGACTGGAGTTTAGTAGAGAGAGGCTGTCAGAGAGACTGGATCTAGACTGACTGGAGTTTAGTAGAGAGACTGGATCTAGACTGACTGGAGTTTAGTAGAGAGAGGCTGTAAGAGAGACTGGATCTAGACTGACTGGAGTTTAGTAGAGAGAGGCTGTCAGAGAGACTGGATCTAGACTGACTGGAGTTTAGTAGAGAGAGGCTGTCAGAGAGACTGGATCTAGACTGACTGGAGTTTAGTAGAGAGAGGCTGTCATAGAGACTGGATCTAGACTGACTGGAGTTTAGTAGAGAGAGGCTGTCATAGAGACTGGATCTAGACTGACTGGAGTTTAGTAGAGAGAGGCTGTCAGAGAGACTGGATCTAGACTGACTGGAGTTTAGTAGAGAGAGGCTGTCAGAGAGACTGGATCTAGACTGACTGGAGTTTAGTAGAGAGAGGCTGTCAGAGAGACTGGATCTAGACTGACTGGAGTTTAGTAGAGAGGCTGTCAGAGAGACTGGATCTAGACTGACTGGAGTTTAGTAGAGAGACTGGATCTAGACTGACTGGAGTTTAGTAGAGAGAGGCTGTCAGAGAGACTGGATCTAGACTGACTGGAGTTTAGTAGAGAGAGGCTGTCAGAGAGACTGGATCTAGACTGACTGGAGTTTAGTAGAGAGAGGCTGTCAGAGACTGGATCTAGACTGACTGGAGTTTAGTAGAGAGAGGCTGTCAGAGTGACTGGATCTAGACTGACTGGAGTTTAGTAGAGAGAGGCTGTCAGAGAGACTGGATCTAGACTGACTGGAGTTTAGTAGAGAAGCTGTCAGAGAGACTGGATCTAGACTGACTGGAGTTTAGTAGAGAGAGAGGCTGTCAGAGAGACTGGATCTAGACTGACTGGAGTTTAGTAGAGAGAGGCTGTCAGAGAGACTGGATCTAGACTGACTGGAGTTTAGTAGAGAGAGAGGCTGTCAGAGAGACTGGATCTAGACTGACTGGAGTTTAGTAGAGAGAGAGGCTGTCAGAGAGACTGGATCTAGACTGACTGGAGTTTAGTAGAGAAGCTGTCAGAGAGACTGGATCTAGACTGACTGGAGTTTAGTAGAGAGAGGCTGTCAGAGAGACTGGATCTAGACTGACTGGAGTTTAGTAGAGAGAGGCTGTCAGAGAGACTGGATCTAGACTGACTGGAGTTTAGTAGAGAGAGAGGCTGTCAGAGAGACTGGATCTAGACTGACTGGAGTTTAGTAGAGAGAGGCTGTCAGAGAGACTGGATCTAGACTGACTGGAGTTTAGTAGAGAGAGGCTGTCAGAGAGACTGGATCTAGACTGACTGGAGTTTAGTAGAGAGAGGCTGTCAGAGAGACTGGATCTAGACTGACTGGAGTTTAGTAGAGAGAGGCTGTCAGAGAGACTGGATCTAGACTGACTGGAGTTTAGTAGAGAGAGAGGCTGTCAGAGAGACTGGATCTAGACTGACTGGAGTTTAGTAGAGAGAGGCTGTCAGAGAGACTGGATCTAGACTGACTGGAGTTTAGTAGAGAGAGGCTGTCAGAGAGACTGGATCTAGACTGACTGGAGTTTAGTAGAGAGAGGCTGTCAGAGAGACTGGATCTAGACTGACTGGAGTTTAGTAGAGAGAGGCTGTCAGAGGGACTGGATCTAGACTGACTGGAGTTTAGTAGAGAGAGGCTGTCAGAGAGACTGGATCTAGACTGACGAGTTTAGTAGAGAGAGGCTGTCAGAGAGACTGGATCTAGACTGACTGGAGTTTAGTAGAGAGAGGCTGTCAGAGAGACTGGATCTAGACTGACTGGAGTTTAGTAGAGAGAGGCTGTCAGAGAGACTGGATCTAGACTGACTGGAGTTTAGTAGAGAGAGAGGCTGTCAGAGAGACTGGATCTAGACTGACTGGAGTTTAGTAGAGAGAGGCTGTCAGAGAGACTGGATCTAGACTGACTGGAGTTTAGTAGAGAGAGAGGCTGTCAGAGAGACTGGATCTAGACTGACTGGAGTTTAGTAGAGAGAGGCTGTCAGAGAGACTGGATCTAGACTGACTGGAGTTTAGTAGAGAGAGAGGCTGTCAGAGAGACTGGATCTAGACTGACTGGAGTTTAGTAGAGAGAGAGGCTGTCAGAGAGACTGGATCTAGACTGACTGGAGTTTAGTAGAGAGAGGCTGTCAGAGAGACTGGATCTAGACTGACTGGAGTTTAGTAGAGAGAGAGGCTGTCAGAGAGACTGGATCTAGACTGACTGGAGTTTAGTAGAGAGAGGCTGTCAGAGAGACTGGATCTAGACTGACTGGAGTTTAGTAGAGAGGCTGTCAGAGAGACTGGATCTAGACTGACTGGAGTTTAGTAGAGAGAGGCTGTCAGAGAGACTGGATCTAGACTGACTGGAGTTTAGTAGAGAGAGGCTGTCAGAGAGACTGGAAATGGACTCAATGAACCAGCAACAGAGCAGAGCTCAACCCAGTTCATTTCAGATCCATTGAGATCAAGTCCAGATAACATCAGATAAATCCCCCAAATACACACACAAACGAACACGCATGCGGTTCACATACACACTCGCAAACACACACACACACACACACGTAAACAGAGGAACTGTACTGCATATTCTCACTCATAGTCAAGAGAGAGAGTAATGACATCATCTCTCTCACTCCTCTGCCAACTCAAAATCACTAAAACTGCTATTTTTCATCCCACCTAACCACAAATCAGGAGACCATTCCAGCAGAATCTCCACAGAACTCTCGTCATTGAGACAAAACACTGCTTTACCTCTAGCCCAGACCAGGGCTGGCCAGGGAACTACCTCCAGCCCAGACCAGGGTTGGCCAGGGAACTACCTTCAGCCCAGACCAGGGCTGGCCAGGGAACTACCTCCAGCCCAGACCAGGGCTGGCCAGGGAACTACCTCCAGCCCAGACCAGGGCTGGCCAGGGAACTACCTCCAGCCCAGACCAGGGCTGGCCAGGGAACTACCTCCAGCCCAAACCAGGGCTGGCCAGGGAACTACCTCCAGCCCAGACCAGGGCTGGCCAGGGAACTACCTCCAGCCCAGACCAGGGCTGGCCAGGGAACTACCTCCAGCCCAAACCAGGGCTGGCCAGGGAACTACCTCCAGCCCAGACCAGGGCTGGCCAGGGAACTACCTCCAGCCCAGACCAGGGCTGGCCAGGGAACTACCTCCAGCCCAAACCAGGGCTGGCCAGGGAACTACCTCCAGCCCAGACCAGGGCTGGCCAGGGAACTACCTCCAGCCCAGACCAGGGCTGGCCAGGGAACTACCTTCAGCCCAGACCAGGGCTGGCCAGGGAACAACCTCCAGCCCAGACCAGGGCTGGCCAGGGAACTACCTCCAGCCCAAACCAGGGCTGGCCAGGGAACTACCTCCAGCCCAGACCAGGGTTGGCCAGGGAACTACCTCCAGCCCAGACCAGGGCTGGCCAGGGAACTACCTCTAGCCCAGACCAGGGCTGGCCAGGGAACTACCTCCAGCCCAGACCAGGGCTGGCCAGGGAACTACCTCCAGCCCAAACCAGGGCTGGCCAGGGAACTACCTCCAGCCCAGACCAGGGCTGGCCAGGGAACTACCTCCAGCCCAGACCAGGGCTGGCCAGGGAACTACCTCCAGCCCAGACCAGGGCTGGCCAGGGAACTACCTCTAGCCCAGACCAGGGCTGGCCAGGGAACTACCTCTAGCCCAGACCAGGGAACATCCCAGAAGATCCCAGTGTGTGAATTCCCATCAATCCGTCTCCAGTAGATCATAGACACAAACACACAGATGGGATCCATCAAGAAAAAGGCATAATAAGATAGTCAGTCACCAGTCTAGTTTCTTATGTAACTGGTGTCGGTCCGTCTGTCTGTGTTGTCTAGCTCTGTCTGTCTGTCTGTCTGTTCCCTCCACTTAAAAGTGTTCTTAAAAGTGTTTCTCTCAGAACTGGACCCAACACAGCAGGGTAGAGAGGAGACAGAGACACATGGACATATACACTGACAAAGACAGACACACACACAGTGCATCTCTGTAGCATGCAGCAAAAAGCATCTGTCAAACAATGACAGAGCAAGAGAGCGAGAGAGAGACAGAGAGACAGAGAGAGAGAGAGAGAGAGAGAGACAGAGACAGAGACAGAGAGACAGAGACAGAGACAGAGACAGAGACAGAGACAGAGACAGAGAGAGAGAGAGAGAAACAGCTGTGTGCCAGTATCACAGTGCAGACAACACAGAACCAGTCTGCACACAACAACACTGCTCTGTCTGTCTGTCTGTCTGTCTGTGGGTCTGTATTTACAGTAGCTCCATTCCACTCCACAGACCGTGGTGGGAAAAGTCCACTGTGGCAACACAATCACAACCCCAACAGATACAGGTAGCTTACAGTGATATATGCACCTCGTTACATACACACACACACACACACACACACACACACACACACACACACACACACACACACACACACACACACACACACACACACACACACACACACACACACACACACACACACACACACACACACACACACACACACACACAGGTAGAGACAAGCAGGGATGAGGGCTTCATGTGCTGTCGCTCTCTCTCTCGTCAATATACATTGTAATAATAACAACAATAAAATGGTAACAGTCAATAGTAGAAATATAATACATATAAAAGGCTAAACATGGAAAATGAAACTAACTGTCATCCTCACCATTACATCAGTACTACAACTACCATCATCATTACTACTACTACCACTACTATTTGGAATAATCACAACAACAACAACTAAGTTACTGTTTACTATGCAGATGTTATTATTCAGTGTCCCTCAGTCTATGGCAGGCAAATACATATTTGGCTGCAAGAGGAGCCATTTAATAAGTTAAAATTTGGAATACATTTCTGTGAATAATTAATCTCTTGCTGAGTAATATTTATCATAGTAAATGAGAAAGTGCATCTCTGTTTCTACCTCCCATGTCATGCAGTGACCACATACACGCTCCTCTTTGGGTAACCATGTATTTTTATGTCTGCCGGTTTCTATTGCCAATTGGTGGTCACTCAGCCTGTACTTGGTAAGGATCTGTCTCTGGTTCATATCTCTGACAGAGTAGAGATAAACAGCCAATTCATATTCTCTGTTTAGTGCCAGTTAGCAATTTAGTCGGCTTTGGGATTTTGTTTCGTTTTTCCAATGTTGTAAATATGAGTCCCTTTGATTGGTTCATGATTTTAAATTGGAGACTTGAATTTGGACTTGAATTTAGATGTAGGCCAAATGTAAATGATATTTTCTGTATTTTCATTACCACTGGAAAGCGGAACAATTCTGCCCTACATGCATTAGTTGGTGTATTTCTTTGGACTTGTATAACTTTCCGACAGAATTCTGCATGTAGGGCTTCAATTGGATGTTTGTCCCACATTTTAAAGTACAGTTTATTGAGTGGCACCCAAACCTCACTTCCGTAAAGTGCTATTGGTAGGATTACGCTGTCAAATATTTTGGTCCAAATTCTAATTGCATTTTTATTGCATACAATGCTCTGTGGGATTTTTCTTAGAGTGCATTCACTGCCATATTAAAGTTTCCCGATGCAGATATGGTCAGACCAAGATATGAGTAATTTTTTATGTGTTCAATTATGGTGTTATTCAAGTTGAATTTATATTTGTGTTTCTGGAAAATCATGATTCTATTTTATTTATTTATGTACTGCAAGGGCCCAATTATGGCAATATTGCTCTACAATATTAAGAGTCTGTTGAAGACCTTCTTTTGTTGGTGATAGAAGAACCACATCATCAGCATATGGCAGATATTTTACCTCAAATAGTCAAATAGTGTGAGTCCTGGGGCTGGAGAATGGTCCAACATGTCTGCTAATTCATTGATTTAATGTTGAAAAGGTTTGGACTCAAACTGCAGCCTTGTCTCACACCTCGACTTTGTGAAAAAAAATAATTATGTTACACACTTGTTTTCTGTGTTCATCTCTCTCCCTCTCTCTCTCTCTCTCCCTCTCTCTACTACAGTACACGGTGAGTGTTTTCAGCCTCTGTTCTGGTCTACAATAACACACAGTGAAGGATGAGATCCAAAGAGGAGAAAGAGATGAGAGAGGGACGAGGGGGTTGGAGTGTGAATCGTGGGAACAAGCCAATTCAACAATGGGTTACTGCTAGGCAACCAGTGTCACAATGCGTAGCAACCACTGTAACAATGGCTGGTTGCCGGTGGCGCTCTACTCCAGATCATTCACTGGGCTACTACAGTGAGTGGCAAACTGCTTACACACACACACACACAGACACAGACACAGACACACACACACACACACACACACACACTGGAGACAAAGACAGACACACAAAGACATCACTATTATTAAGTCATTACATTACAGCAGGGGGCCCTGACCCACGCTTTTAGAGGGGGAAATCCGGGGGCTTTCCAAACAGACACGGACACACACACACACTCTGTGAAGATACACTCAGGGAGAGGGGGACCCAGGCTAATGCAGCTCAATGGGCAGTATGAGTCAAGGCATGGTATGTGGTGGCTAGCATATAGCCTGGAAAAGCCCTCCAGTCAGTCACACATAACACAATTACTGGAAGCAGACGGCCAGACAGACAGCCTGGCCTCATCACTATGGACTCGGGCTAAAATAGTTCACAAGGCATTCTAGTTTTTATGGATACGTTTAGCTAAGATGGCCATTTGACTCAGAGTAGTTGAAGTTAATGTTATGTTTATGCTAGGTGTCTAAAGAGTTCCGATCTGTAGAGAATGTGATTAGAAAGGGAGGTTTACCTAAACAGATAGAGGAATGAGGGAGATCTGGCCTTGATTGTGTGTGTGTGTGTGTGTGTGTGTGTGTGTGTGCGCGCGCCTGCATGTAAGCACTCCCTATTCACTGACAAAGGAAGTGAACACGTCCTTTATATAAAGGCCAGTGAAAGGCAGGCGTCTTTTTGTGAGTGAGTTATATAATCCAACTGCCCTGTCGCGGCACTACTGTAGGTATACACCCAGGACGAACGAGAGAGAGCGAGAGCGCACATATATCACCCGGCCTCACCCTACTAGAATCTGAAGTCAAATGTTTACTGTTTGCTGATGATCTGGTGCTTCTGTCACCAACCAAGGAGGGCCTACAGCAGCATCTAGATCTTCTGCACAGATTCTGTCAGACCTGGGCCCTGACAGTGAATCTCATTAAGACAAAAATTGTTCCAAAAAAGATCCAGTTGCCAGGACCACAAATACAAATTCCATCTAGACACCGTTGCCCTAGAGCACACAAAAAACTATACCTACCTCGGCCTAAACATCAGCGCCACAGGTAACTTCCACAAAGGTGTGAACGATCTGAGAGACAAGGCAAGAAGGGCCTTCTATGCCATCAAAAGGAACATCAAATTTGACATACCAATTAGGATCTGGCTAAAAATACTTGAATCAGTTATAGAACCCATTGCCCTTTATGGTTGTGAGGTCTGGGGTCCGCTCACCAACCAATAATTCACAAAATGGGACAAACACCAAAAATATACTCTGTCTACAATGTAAAACACCAAAAAATGCATGCAGAGCAGAATTAGAGAGGAGAGAGACACAGAGAGAGAGAGAGCGCATCTCACCACAGCAGGTACACAAGAGAAAGAACAATGAATATAAGATCATTTTATAAGCATCTGAGTTGTTTGGATTCTAAATCTGAGTTGTGGACCAGTAGTATTACTGTAAAGTTAACCTCCAATCAGATATCAGACCAACAGGATGTCACCTCTCCTTCTCAGAGGTGAGACAATGGGGGTTGGCAAGACCAACACAGAGGATGCTGAATTCCTAAGACAACACAGAGGATGCTGAATTCCTAAGACAACACAGAGGAAATTATTGCATACAATTGATAAGTCACGTCGGGGGCTGCCCTACAACTGTGACTGACCCAAAATGAAGGAAAGCTGTGACTATGTACAGACCAGCGGAGGCTGCTGGGTGGAGGACGACTCATAATGATGGCTGGAACGGAGCGAATGGAATGTTATAAAACTCATGGAAACCATGGAAACCATGCGTTGGATGTATTTGATACCATTCCACAAAATCTGCTCCAGCCATTACCACGAGCCCGTCCTCCCCGATTAAGGTGCCACCAACCTCCTGTGGTACAGACTCAGTCAGCATAGCCTTGCTATTGAGAGAAGCCGCCGTAGGCAGACCTGGCTCTCAAGAGAAGACAGGCTATGTGCACACTGCCCACAAAACGAGGTGGAAACTGAGCTTCACTTCCTAACCTCCTGCCAAATGTATGACCATATTAGAGACACATATTTCCCTCAGATTACACAGACCCACAAATAATTTAAAAACAAATCCAATTTTGTGAACAAACACCATTGTAAATCCAACCCATATTTATGTTTATTTATTTTCCCTTTTTGTACTTTAACTATTTGCACATTGTTATAACACTGTATACAGACATTACATTTACATTTTAGTCATTTTAGCAGACGCTCTTATCCAGAGTGAATTACAGGAGCAATTAGGGTTAAGTGCCTTGCTCAAGGGCACATCGACTAGATTTTTCACCTAGTCGGCTCGGGGATTAGAACCAGCGACCTTTCGGTTACTGGCACAACGCTCTTAACCACTAAGCCACCCACATATGACATTTGAAATGTCTTTATTATTTTGGAACTTGTGTGAGTGTAATATTTACTATTTACTGTACTGTTGATTGTTTCACTTTTGTTTATTATCTATTTCACTTGCTTTGGCAATGTAAACATATGTTTCCCATGCCAATGAAGCGACTTGAATTGAATTGAATTGAGAGAGTGAGTTACCGGAGGGTAATAAAATGACTTAAAATATGAGGAAGTGCTCTAGACTCAACTTCAGTAGAGTGGAATGTATAAGTGTCTATAAACAGGTACCGTCTGGAAGCCTGCAGCTACTTAAACTACTCTGTTACACTTGGAACTCAACTCACTGCATTCCCCATTACCATACAGAGGAGGAAGCTCCTGAAATGCCCCCAGCTACTATCCCAAATGATACAATGGGTGTGGGTGATATAAAACTATTGCCCAAAATAGGCTGCTATGTCATTGGAAAGTGATTCCCTATATAGCCAGTGTTCGCTGAGGGGAACATTATTCCATTAGAGGCAGAAATATGAAGTGTTTGGGTAAACATTACCCTGAGGACTGAGACAGCAGAGTGGGGAGGGTTAATGGTACGCTGTGAGGAGATATGGCTAGAAACGCTGAATACAGGGGACTTTGATCAGTGTGTGTGTGTGTGTGTGTGTGTATGTGTGTGTGTGTGTCTTAGAGAGAAAATTGCAGTCTATAAACTGAGAGTAGACTTTGATCTGAGTGACTTGTTTCAGAGGCCTGACTCTGAATAAACACGCACGCACACACACACCAAAGGCATTGTGGGATTGAAAACGCCCATCCCATCAGATGTAATCACTGAGGGACATACATAAAGAAACATGTTCCTGATGGAACACACACCTGCCCACACACTCCAAGAGCACATCATATTATAGATGACATTACATCATATTTGACCCAACTGACAGAAGGATGAACTGAATAGGAAAAGATGTAGAAATGAGACAAATAGTGAAGGACCCAGATAAGACCCAGCTCAGAGAGGAGAAGGACCCAGATAGGACCCAGATAGGACCCAGCTCAGAGAGAAGGACCCATATAGGACCCAGCTCAGAGAGATAGATAGGACCCATATAGGACCCAGCTCAGAGAGATAGATAGGACCCAGATAAGACCAGCTAAGAGAGATAGATAGGACCCATATAGGACCCAGCTCAGAGAGATATATAGGACCCAGATAAGACCAGCTAAGAGATAGATAGGACCCAGATAAGACCCAGCTCAGAGAAAGAAAGAAGACAGACACAGATACAAAGGTCAAGGGTCGCACACTAGAAGGTAACACTTACATTAGCTCCACCCCCAGGACCATGGGCACCTTGTCTCCGGAATGGTTGCTACGGAAACGCAGGCGGAAGATGTGGCTGGCCCCGGGCTGCCGTGATGTCAGCATTCCAGCGGTGCTTCTGACGGGTGATAGGTTGACATCCTCAGCCTGGCAGGGTCCCACCCAGATATGGTCCCTCAGAGCATAGTCTATCACTGCATAGCTGTCCTCACTGAGGGGGAGAGAGAGAGACAGAGAGAGAGCGAGAGGGGGAGAGAGAGAGAGAGAGTCCTCTGTTAACCCCACACCCACAGTGTGCCATCACAGCAGCAAGATTTGTGACCTGTTGCCACAAGAAAAGGGCAACCAGTGGAGCACAAACACCATTTTAATACAACCTATATTTATCTGATTATTTCAACTATTTGCACACTATTACAACACTGTACAATAATATATTTTAAATGTCTATTTTTTTGTTATTTATTATACTGAGTAATGATTACTGATCATTTGTTAAAAGAAAACGGATCTTTTTTTTTTTTTTTTGTCTCCCGAGTGGCGCAGTGGTTTAAGCCACTGCATCGCAGTGCTAGCTGTGCCACTAGAGATCCTGGTTCGAATCCAGGCTCTGTCATAGCCGGCCGTGACCGGGAGACCCATGGGGCGGCGCACAATTGGCCTCAGTTGGTAGAGCATGGCGTTTGCAACGGCAGGGTTGTGGGTTCGATTCCCACGGGGGGCCAGTATGGAGAAAGAAAAAATATATAATAGAAAAAAAAAATGTATGCACTCACTACCTGTAAGTCGCTCTGGATAAGAGCGTCTGCTAAATGACTAAAATGTAAAATGAATGAGAGAGAGAGAGAGAAGAATGTCCTGGTACATATCTTTTTTCATATCCGATTCTACTGCTTGCATCAGTTACCTGATGTGGAATAGAGTTCAATGTAGCCATGGCTCTATGTATGCGCCTCCCATAGTCTGTTCTGGACTTGGGGACTGTGAAGAGACCTCTGGTGGCATGTCTTCTGGGGTATGCATGGCTGTCCGAGCTGTGTGCCAGTAGTTCAAACAGACAGCTCGGTGCATTCAACATGTCAATACCTCTCACAAATACAGGTAGTGATGAAGTCAATCTCTCCTCCACTTTGAGCCAGGAGAGATTGACATGCATATTATTAATGTTAGCTCTCCGTGTACATTTAAGGGCCAGCTGTGCTGCCCTGTTCTGAGACAATTGTAATTTTTCCAGAGGTCTCTCTTTGTGGCACCTGACCACACGACTGAACAGTAGTCCAGGTGCGACCAAACTAGGGCCTGTAGGACCTGCCTTGTTGATAGTGCTGTTAAGAAGGTAGAGCAATGCTTTATTATGGACATACTTCTCCCCATTTTAGCTACTGTTGTATCAATATGTTTTGACCATGACAGTTTACAATCCAGGGTTACTCCAAGCAGTTTAGTCACCTCAACTTGCTCAATTTCCACATGATTTATTACAATATTTAGTTGAGGTTTAGAGTTTAGTGAATGATTTGTCCCAAATACAATGCTTTTAGTTTTTGAAATATTTAGGACTAACTTATTCCTTGCCACCCATTCTGAAACTAACTGCAGCTCTTTGTTAAGTGTTGCAGTCATTTCAGTCGCTGTGGTAGCTGACGTGTATAGTGTTGAGTCATCCGCATACACAGACACACTGGCTTAACTCAAAGCCAGTGACATGTCATTAGTAAAAATAAAAAAAATTAAAGGGGCCTAGACTGCCGCCTTCCGGAATCACTGATTCTACCTCGATTATGTTGGAGAGGCTTCCATTAAAGAACACCCTCTGTTCTGTTAGACAGTAACTCTTTATCCATAATATAGCAGGGGGTGTAAAGCCATAACACATATGTTTTTCCATCAACAGACTATGATCAATAATGTCAAAAGCTGCACTGAAGTCTAACAAAACAGGTCCCACAATCTTTTTATCATTTATTTCTCTCAGCCAATCATTAGTTTTTTGTGTAAGTGCTGTGCTTGTTGAATGTCCTTCCCTATAAGCGTGCTGAAAGTCTGTTGTCAATTTGTTTACTGTAAAATAGCATTGTATCTGGTCAAACAAACATTTTTCCAAAAGTTTACCAAGGATTGTTAACAGGCTGATGGGTCGGCTATTTATCTTTGTTTCATAGTATAGATTCTTCTTCTTTTTATTCAGTTTAGTCACATGATTTCTCAACTATGTTTGCCAATCGGTTGTGTAGTCAGACTTATTTGCCATTCCTTTTGCCTCATCCCTCTCAACCATGCAATTTTTCAACTCCTCATCAATCCACGGGGATTTAACAGTTTTTACAGTCATTTTCTTAAAATGGGTGCATGCTTATTAGTAACTGGAATAAGCAATTTCATAAATGTGTCAAGTGCAGCGTCTGGTTGCTCCTCATTACTCACCACGGACCAACATATATTCTTTACATCAACAACATAGGAATCACTACAAAACGTATTGTATGACCTCATACACTATATTAGGCCCAGCCTATGGACCTGTGGTTTTCCTAGATATGGCTACTATATTGTGATCACTACATCCAATGGATTTGGATACTGCTTTAAAGCAAATTTATGCAGCATTAATGATGATGTGACCAATACATGTTGATGATTTCATTCCTGTGCTGTTTGTAACTACCCTGGTAGGTTGACTGATAGCCTGCACCAGGTTGCAGGCACTAGTTACAGTTTGAAGCTTTTTCTTGAGTTGGCCAGCTTGATGAAAGCCAGTCAATATTTAAAAATCACCAAGAAAATAAACCTCTCTGTTGATATCACATACATTATCAAGCTTTTCACAAATGTTATCCAGATACTAACTGTTAGCACTTGATGGTCTATAGCAGCTTCCCACCAGGATGGGCTTTAGGTGAGGCAGATGAACCTGTAGCCATATTATTTCAACAGTATTTAACATGAGATCCTCTCTAAGCTTTACAGGAATGTGGTTCTGAATATAAAACGGCAACACCGCCACCTTTGGCATTTCTGTATTTACTGTAGATGTTATAACCATGTATTGCTACCACGGTTTCATCAAAGGTATTATCTAAGTGAGTTTCATATTCTGACAATCTCTGAATCTCATCTGTTACTAGCAAATGACTGATTTCATGAACCTTGTTTCTTAATGTTAACGTGGACTATTTTTAACACTTTTCTGGGATGCTTGATTGTTTTCATTGCTTTACTGGGAAGATTGTGTCTTCCAATGCCCCTGGGATAATGTGCATTTGCTGAAGCATTATGGCAACTCAGCGACACAATGGTAGGGATTAACTGATCTGGTCTTGGGTCATTGATAAGTCATTGTCTCAACGCAGCCTTATAATGCTGTGAAAGGATCCAGGAACCCAAATGATTTGGGTGGATCCCAACCTCCTTATAAAATGAGCTTTGTTTCCAGTAGGTATCAAAATGGTCAATAAATGTTACACCCACAGAGCTGCAATAGTCAGGGCCTACTCAAACAAACAAAGACGGGAGATAAGCTTGGAAGAGAGGGAAATAAAACAGAGGGAAGGAGAGAGGAGAGGCCAGCTGTGGCTCTAGGGTTTTCCTGAACAGAGAAGTGTCACTCTCAGCAATGCATCTCTCAGCAAACAATTGTTTTATTTATTCTTACAGTGAAATGCTTACTTACAAGCCATTAACCAACAATGCAGTTTTAAGAAAAATAAGTGTTAAGTAAAAAATGTATAAGTAAAAAAATTGAAAAGAAAAATAGAAAATAATTAAAGAGCAGCAGTAAAATAACAGTAGCGAGGCTATATACAGGGGGTACCGGTACAGAGTCAATGTGAGGGGGCACAGGTTAGTCCAGGTAATTGAGGTGGTAGAGGGCTGTAAAACGGCAGTCATTCCATTTCAATAGCAGTAGAATCACCCTGACAGACGAGGCTATGAGAAGAGGTAGTCCAAGAGGGACTGGCCAGCAGCATGGCGTCCAGGGTTAACGCTGTCTATGCTCTCTCTGTCAAGCTCTACTGTTGGCCTAATGTACCGTGACCTAGCCTACAATTAGTCTAGCCAGTGCTTTTATTTCTGTTCATGCAGAGAGAGAGAGAGAGAGAGAGAGAAGGAGAGAGAGAACGAGAGAGAGAGAGAAAGAGAAAAAGAGAGAGAAAGAGAAAGAGAAAAGAGAGAAAGAGAGAGAGAAAGAAAGAGAATGAGAGAGAAAGAGAAAAAGAGAGAGAGAAAGAGAGAGAATGAGAGAGAGAGAAAGAACGAGAAAGAGAGAGAAGGAGAAAGAGAACGAGAGAGAATGAGAGAGAACGAGAGCGAGAGAAAGAGAGAGAAAGAGAGAGAGAGGGTATATAGTAGTAGGGCTCCCGTGCTCCTCCTCCACAGAACACACTAATATTATATCAGTATCACCCATTCCACACACACGTATCCAATACCCAAATAGTCCGTTCTGAAAAGCATACTGCTGGAGCCTGCTGCTTTGGAACAAATTCCCAGAAAGAAAAAAGGTTTTAGTCATTCAGAGCGAGAGATAGCAGCAGGACGATCCGACTCAGACACAGCTGGAGACGAAAACATTTTAGATTTGGGGGGAAATTTGAAGCATGCACACACACATGAATGAATGAATGAATGAGAGCCATATGGTTTCCAGGAAGTCATACTTTATTAATGGCGTGCAGAATGTTCCTGAATTGTTTTGGAGAAAACAAGCTTCCGTTCTGATCCTGCTGACAATGTGCAGCTCCATGGGCTCAGCACAGACACATGTACAGACACACAGAACAAGTACACACAGATTGTGAACACACCAAGAGACAGATTTGTATGTTTAGCCAGGCCATTTGATGTACACCTGTTAATACACACCTGTGCTAAAGGTTTATCTGCTTCTTCAAGTAGTTGACCAGCTAAAGGTTCCTCTGCTCTTCAAGTAGTTGACCTGCTAAAGGTTCCTCTGCTTCTTCAAGTAGTTGACCTGCTAAAAGGTTCCTCTGCTTCTTCAAGTAGTTGACCTGCTAAAGGTTTCTCTGCTTCTTCAAGTAGTTGACCTGCTAAAGGTTTCTCTGCTTCTTCAAGTAGTTGACCTGCTAAAGGTTTCTCTGCTTCTTCAAGTAGTTGACCTCACAGTTGAACTGACTGAAGTAGTTTGTTTGCATTACTAAGAGCCATCATGAGTACCTTCCCTCTAATAAAACAACCAAAGATAGAACCTACCAGGTTCATTTCCCAGAAATGGTCCCACATCTTCTGAGAAAACGAAAGATAAAAACACACACCCTGTCTGTCCCTGGCACTGGGGCCATGTGGCTACACTTTCACTGTCAACATGTTGGAACAGGGCGGTGAGGTGTATTCTGGGAAATGGCCCACACTCCAAGGTCAAACTTGACTCATACCAGAGAGACAACACACGAACACACTGAGTTTCCCGCACAAAACTCTGTCGCAATGACCGAAAGAGAATCTGAGCTCGCCATCTTCATATCTAGCATAACTAAACTTTATCATCATCATCATCACCCTCCCTATCTGTGGGATTGGCTGCAATTGGCTTGTGAAACTTTGCAGTTGACTGTTATTGGCTAGTGAGTGTGGGAGTTAGCTGTGATTGGCTATTGAGACTGAAGTTGACTGTGATTGGTCGGGGAGCATGTGGGATTGGCTGTGAGACTGTGGACCCACCTCTTCTTCCTGGTGAGGATGAGGACGTCGTTGAAGAGGAAGAAGTAGACCTGCTGCCGTGACGTCCTCTTGGAGAAGATACCGTTCTCCTCCACGAAGGCTGTGAGCTCCCCTCGCTTCACCATCCACCTAGAGGACGACACCAGTGGGAAGGGCTGGGGGGAGAGAGAGAGCGCGACACAATGATGATCAATATCAAGGTTTACAAATGGAATGTGCTTCAGACATTCCAGAGTGTGTGTGTGTATGTGTCTGAACAGCTGGCTATGAGGGCAGAATGTAAGTTCACAGCCCTGCAGACATCTGTTAGGCCCACATGTGCCAACGTGTGTGCGTGTACACAAATGTGTGTATGTGAATCTTTTTGAATATATATATACATACACACTACCGGTCAAAAGTTTTAGAACACCTACTCATTCAAGGGTTTTTCTTTATTTTTACTATTTTCCACATTGTAGAATAATAGTGAAGACATCAAAACTATGAAATAACACATATGGAATCATGTAGTAACCAAAAAGTTGTTAAACAAATCAAAATATATTTTATATTTGAGATTCTTCAAAGTAGCCACCCTTTGCCTTGATGACAGCTTTGCACACTCTTGGCATTCTCTCAACCAGCTTCACCTGGAATGCTTTTCCAACAGTGTTGAAGGAGTTCCCACATATGCTGAGCACTTGTTGGCTGCTTTTCCTTCACTCTGCAGTCCGACTCATCCCAAACCCTCTCAATTTGGTTGAGGTCGGGGGATTGTGGAGGCCAGGTCATCTGATGCAGCACTCTATCACTCTCCTTCTTGGAAAAATAGCCCTTACACAGCCTGGAGGTGTGTTGGGACATTATCCTGTTGAAAAACAAATGATAGTCCTACTAAGCCCAAACCAGATGGGATGGTGTATCACTGCAGAATGCTGTGGTAGCCATGCTGGTTAAATAAGCAAAGAGAAACAACAGTCCATCATTACTTTAAGACATGAAGGTCAGTCAACTTTGAAAGTTTCTTCAAGCGCAGTCACAAAAACAATCAAGCGCTATGATGAAACTGGCTCTCATGAGGACCTCCACAGGAATGGAAGACCCAGAGTTACCTCTGCTGCTGAGGATAAGTTCATTAGAGTTACCAGCCTCAGAAATTGCAGCCCAAATAAATGCTTCACATGTTCAAGTAACAGACATCTCAACATCTACTGTTCAGAAGAGACTGTGTGAATCAGGCCTTCATGGTCGAATTGCTGCAAAGAAACCACTACTAAAGGACACCAATAACAAGAGACTTGCTTGGGCCAAGAAAAACGAGCAATGGACATTAGACCGGTGGAAATGTGTCCTTTGGTCTGGAGTCCAAATTTGAGATTTTTGGTTCCAACCGCCATGGCTTTGTGTGGGTAAATGGATGATCTCCGCATGTGTATTTCCCACCGTAAAGCATGGAGGAGGAGGTGTGATGGTGCATTGCTGGTGAGACTGTCTGTGATTTATTTACAATTTAAGGCGCACTTAACCAGCATGGCTACCACAGAATTCTGCAGCGATACTCCATCACATCTGGTTTGGGCTTAGTTGGACTATCATTTGTTTTTCAACAGGACAATGACCCAACACACTGTCATCAAGGCAAAGGGTGGCTACTGTGAATAATCTAAAATATATTTTGATTTGTTTCAAACTTTTTTGGTTACTTCATGATTCCATATGTGTTATTTCATAGTTTTGATGTCTTCACTATTATTTTACAAGGTAGAAAATAGTAAAAAATTAAGAAAAACCCTTGAATGAATAGGTGTCCAAACTTTTGACTGCTACTGTGTGTGTGTGTGTGTGTATATATATATATATATATATATATATATATATATATATATATATATATATATATATATATATATATATATATATATATATATATATATATATATATATATATATATACACACACACACTGCTCAAAAATATAAAGGGAACACTAAAATAACACATCCTAGATCTGAATGAATGAAATAATCTTATTAAATACTTTTTTCTTTACATAGTTGAATGTGCTGACAACAAAATCACACAAAAATTATCAATGGAAATCAAATTTATCAACCCATGGAGGTCTGGATTTGGAGTCACCCTCAAAATTAAAATGGAAAACCACACTACAGGCTGATCCAACTTTGATGTAATGTCCTTAAAACAAGTCAAAATGAGGCTCAGTAGTGTGTGTGGCCTCCACGTGCCTGTATGACCTCCCTACAATGCCTGGGCATGCTCCTGATGAGGTGGCGGATGGTCTCCTGAGGGATCTCCTCCCAGACCTGGACTAAAGCATCCGCCAACTCCTGGACAGTCTGTGGTGCAACGTGGCGTTGGTGGATGGAGCGAGACATGATGTCCCAGATGTGCTCAATTGGATTCAGGTCTGGGGAACGGGCGGTCCATAGCATCAATGCCTTCCTCTTGCAGGAACTGCTGACACACTCTAGCCACATGAGGTCTAGCATTGTCTTGCATTAGGAGGAACCCAGGGCCAACCGCACCAGCATATGGTCTCACAAGGGGTCTGAGGATCTCATTTCTGTACCTAATGGCAGTCAGGCTACCTCTGGTGAGCACATGGAGGCCTGTGCGGCCCCCCAAAGAAATGCCACCCCACACCATGACTGACCCACCGCCAAACCGGTCATGCTGGAGGATGTTGCAGGCAGCAGAACATTCTCCACGGCGTCTCCAGACTCTGTCACATGTGCTCAGTGTGAACCTGCTTTCATCTGTGAAGAGCACAGGGCGCCAGTGGCGAATTTGCCAATCTTGGTGTTCTCTGGCAAATGCCAAACGTCCTGCACGGCGTTGGGCTGTAAGCACAACCCCCACCTGTGGACGTCGGGCCCTCATACCACCCTCATGGAGTCTGTTTCTGACCGTTTGAGCAGACACATGCACATTTGTGGCCTGCTGGAGGTCATTTTGCAGGGCTCTGGCAGTGCTCCTCCTGCTCCTCCTTGCACAAAGGCGGAGGTAGCAGTCCTGCTGCTGGGTTGTTGCCCTCCTACGGCCTCCTCCACGTCTCCTGATGTACTGGCCTGTCTCCTGGTAGCGCCTCCATGCTCTGGACACTACGCTGACAGACACAGCAAACCTTCTTGCCACAGCTCGCATTGATGTGCCATCCTGGATGAGCTGCACTACCTGAGCCACTTGTGTGGGTTGTAGACTCCATCTCATGCTACCACTAGAGTGAAAGCACCGCCAGCATTCAAAAGTGACCAAAACATCAGCCAGGAAGCATAGGAACTGAGAAGTGGTCTGTGGTCACCACCTGCAAAACCAGTCCTTTATTGGGGGTGTCTTGCTAATTGCCTATAATATCCACCTGTTGCCTATTCCATTTGCACAACAGCATGTGAAATGTATTGTCAATCAGTGTTGCTTCCTAAGTGGACAGTTTGATTTCACAGAAGTGTGATTGACTTAGAGTTACATTGTGTTGTTTAAGTGTTCCCTTTATTTTTTTGAGCAGTATATATATATATATATATATATATATATATATATATATATATATATATATATATATATATATATATATATATATATATATATGTGTGTGTGTGTGTGTGTGTGTGTGTGTGGTTGTGTGGTTGTGTGTTTGTATGCGTGTCCATGTGTGTATGTATGTAAAGGGAGACATACGTGAGCATTTCTGACACACTGCTCAAACACATTTGTCCATATCAACAGATGAAAGAAATTGATTGTGATTCAAAGAGGACGCTGGGAAAAGACCCAGTGAACAATATGCACAGAACATAACACCATGTGTGTGTTTATGAGTGTGTGTGTGTGTGTGATTTACTCTGTAGTGCAGCAGCAAGAGTTATATAGGACCATGATTCCTCTCCATTTCACACACTAGTAGAGAAACCTCATGTTGCCTCTCTGTGTGTCTCTCCCCTGGGAGACCGCTTGGGAAATGCCAGGTATGACCAGGAATACCCCCAAATATTCCTCAAAAAGGACAGAGGAAAAGCTAATGGTAATGCCTTCACAGTACCTCCTGCTACGGGCTTTAAAGCTAGAATCCTTAGTTGCAACATACATTTTTGAACTTATAAACTAATGATATGTGCCCATTGATTCTTAAAGAATATAACTTATAAATGCCTCATGAGCTTAGTTCAACTGTCGTACCCCATCAGAACCCAAAATATAAACACATTTTACTCCAATGTTTGTAAATAATGCACATAAAAACAAACACTGTATAGCCTCACAACATGGTTAAAACTATAATGTTAATATCATGGATGGTCAGTCCTTGCATCCATAGCTCTGTCTATGAATTTGAGAGTGGTATCATTTCTCCAGGCCCCTTCCTCAGCTGTAACAGAGGTGGGGTGAGAGAGGGGGAATGAGGAATGAGACCCCTTTCTAACGGTTTAATTTAAAGATGAAATCCGCAGTAGGGGAACCAGCACCACTGGTCGCCCCCACCACCTTTGTTTTGTGTTTGTTTTGTTGACGAACGGTCAGGTGCAAAATAAATGTTGCAGTAATAATAATAATAATAATAGTACATATTCTGCTGTTCTATTAAGCGTGCAGTGATGTCCCAGAAAAAAAGAAGAAGACATTTGTTGTTGTAATATACATTTACATTACATTTACGTCATTTATTGATTACTTTATCCTATCCCAGGTATTCCTTAAAGAGGTGGGGTTTCAAATGTCCCAAACGTACATGGCAGTTTCACCATTAGACATTCCTGCTTTAAGGATTCTAGCTTTAAAAAACAAAACCCCTCTGCATGTTAATGCTTCTGTCTGTATTCTTAAGTGTCCATAGTATCCTATAGTACATCTACAGCTCTTCAGGAAGGTAGCTCTCCAGGAACAGGGTTTAGAGCCCTGGTCCATCCTACATTTACAGCTCTTCAGGAAGGTAGCTCTCCAGGAACAGGGTTTAGAGCCCTGGTCCATCCTACATTTACAGCTCTTCAGGAAGGTAGCTCTCCAGGAACAGGGTTTAGAGCCCTGGTCCATCCTACATTTACAGATCTTCAGGAAGGTAGCTCTCCAGGAACAGGGTTTAGAGCCCTGGTCCATCCTACATTTACAGCTCTTCAGGAAGGTAGCTCTCCAGGAACAGGGTTTAGAGCCCTGGTCCATCCTACATTTACAGCTCTTCAGTATATATAGTAGGTTTACAGCCATAAAGCCCAGCTATAGACCCCAATGGGGTTAATTGACACAGTCATAAAGCCCAGCTTTAGGCCCCAATGGGGTGAATTGACAGTCATAAAGCCCACCTATAGGCCCCAATGGGGTTAATTGAGTTAATATACTGTACTACATAATACCAAGCCCATCTCCTTACCTTGATCTTAAACTCCAGTTGGGAGTTGATGGTGTACATCATCTCTGTTCTCTCCATGGTACGGGCCCCTTCGTTACACTTACGCACCACCTAACACACACACAGTTATAAGCACACAGACGCACCACCTAACACACACACACAGTTATAAGCACACAGACGCACCACCTAACACACACACACACAGTTATAAGCACACAGACGCACCACCTAACACACACACACAGTTATAAGCACACAGACGCATGAACACACGTGTGCAGTTACATGCAGGCTCACATACATAGACCACAGGGAAACAGGCTCTTCGTTGATCTCATGTTGAGACGGTCTATGACCTTTGACCTGGCATCAGTTTGGGTTTGACCCCAGTTGACCTCTTACCTTGCTGACTGATTGGAGGGCTTGCTTACAGGTCTCATACTGGGCAGAGTCTTTAGGAGCCTTCTGACAAATGACCTGGAACAGAGAGAGGGGTCAGAGGTCAGAGCAGATCACACACACACACAGTGGCTGGGACCCAGGACAGTGTGTTCTTTATCAAAGGGCTGAGTACACAGTAGAGTATGATGTAGAAAGGCTGTGTGAGATTAGCCAGGGTTAACAACTTCCTTATTCCTGGGAGAGGCTTCCAGAACACACACACACACACACACACACACACACACACACACACACGTTGGAAGCATTAAGTATAACCAAAACATTCTCAGGACTCAAAAGCCTCCTACTTCATGGCCTAGTATCCTGCCTTAAATATGAGACTCAAGGGAACTACTAAAATAGGGAACAGGAGAGAAGAGGAGAGAGATAGAACAGTAAGTGAAACCACTAACATCAGTCATTCTCCTTCCACCTACACACAGTACGAACGAAAGAGGGACCAATGAATGACGGAAGGGACAAAACATTTCTAGGTCAATAGAGTTAGGAGCCAGTTTCTACTGAGAGCTGAGCTCTTTGAGGCCAGTTAAGATGAAGGTTAACTATAGATGAAGGCTAACTATAGATGAAGGCTAACTATAGATGAAGGCTAACTATAGTTGAAGGCTAACTATAGATGAAGGCTAACTATAGATGAAGGCTAACTATAGATGAAGGCTAACTATAGATGAAGGCTAACTATAGATGAAGGCTACAGCAGATGAAGGCTACAGCAGATGAAGGCTAACTATAGATGAAGGCTACAGCAGATGAATGCTACAGCAGATGAAGGCTACAGCAGATGAAGAACACAGCAGATGAAGGCTACAGCAGATGAAGGCTAACTATAGATGAAGGCTACAGTAGATGAAGGCTACAGTAGATGAAGGCTACATTAGTGTGGGTCATGGTGATTTTTTATCAACAGTGGTGCAATAAAAGTCAGTAGGTCCTCAGTACTGTGAGTGTGTGAGTTTGTTATAATAAAACGTACTAAAAGATCAGGGATCAGAAACACATGACCTGCTATTCCAGTTCAACGAGGCTGGAGGAGAGAGAGCAGAGGGGGACTAATAGTGTGAGAACTAAAGTAATAGAAATAATGCATGCATGCATGACAGAGGGATGAGAGAATGGAGGGGGGAGGGAGTGAGGCCGAAATGAGAGGCCGTTCAGTGTAATCAAATCTGCAGTGTTATGTAAGAGACAAAGTCCTTTAGAGAGTGAGACAGTCATAAACAGACAGGGTGTGTGTGTGTTTCTGCATGGTCATATACAGTGCATTCGGAAAGTATTCAGACCCCTTGACTTTTTCCACTTTGTTACATTACAACATTATTCTGAAAATGATTAAAATATTTTTTCCTCCCCTCATCAATCTACACACAATACCCCATAAAGACAAAGCAAAAACAGGTTTAGAATTTTTTTCATTTTTATTAAAATAAAAAATGGAAATATTACATTTACATAAGTATTCAGACCCTTTACTCAGTACTTAGTTGAAGAACCTTTGGCAGCGATTACAGCCTCGCGTCTTCTTGGGTATGACGCTACAAGCTTGGCATACCTATATTTCGGGAGTTTCTCCCATTCTTCTCTGCAGATTTCCTCAAGCTCCGGCAGGTTGGATGGGAACCGTCGCTCAACAGCTATTTTCAGGTCTCTTCAGAGATGTTCGATCAGGTTCAAGTCCGGGCTCTGGCTGGGCCACTCAACAACATTCAGAGACTTGTCCCGAAGCCACTCCTGCGTTGTCTTGGCTGTGTGCTTAGGGTCATTGTCCTGTTGGAAGGTGAACCTTCACCCCAGTCTGAGGTCCTGAGTGCTCTGGAGCAGGTTTTCATCAAGGATCTCTCTGTACTTTGCTCCGTTCATCTTTCCCTCGATCCTGACTAGTCTCCCAGTCCCTGCCGCTGAAAAACATTCCCACAGCATGATGCTGCCACCACAATGCTTCACTGTAGGGATGGTGCCTGGTTTCCTCCAGATGTGACGCTTGGCATTCAGGCCAAAGAGTTCAATTTTGGTTTCATCAGACCAGAGAATATTGTTTCTCATGGTCTGTGAGTCCTTTAGGTGCCTTTTGGCAAACTCCAAGCGGGCTGTCATGTGCCTTTTACTGAGGAGTGGCATCCCTCTGGCCACTCTATCATAAAGGCCTGATAGGTGGAGTGCTGCAGAGATGGTTGTCCTTCTGGAAGGATATCCCATCTCCACAGAGGAAGTCTGGAGCTCTGTCAGAGTGACCATCGGATTCTTGGTCACCTCCCTGACCAGGGCCCTTCTCCCCCGAATGCTCAGTTTGGCCGGGTGGCCAGCCCTAGGAAGAGCCTTGGTCATTTAAGAATGATGGAGGCCACTGTGTTCTTGGGGACCTTCAATGCTGCAGAATTTTTTGGTACCCTTCCCCAGATCTGTGCCTCGACACAATCCTGTCTCGGAGCTCTACGGACAATTGCTTCGACCTCATAGCTTGGTTTTTGCTCTGACATGCACTGTCAACAGTGGGACCTTTATATAGACAGGTGTGTGCCTTTCCAAATCATGTCCAATCAATTGAATTTACCACAGGTGGACTCCAATCAAGTTGTAGAAACATTAAGGATGATCAATGGAAACAGGATGCACCTGAGCTCAATTTCGAGTCTAATAGCAAAGGATCTGAATACTTACAGTGGGGAGAACAAGTATTTGATACACTGCCGATTTTGCAGGTTTTCCTACTTACAAAGCATGTAGAGGTCTGTAATTTTTATCATAGGTACACTTCAACTGTGAGAGACGGAATCTAAAACCAAATTCCAGAAAATCACATTGTATGATTTTTAGGTAATTAATTTTCATTTTATTGCATGACATAAGTATTTGATCACCTACCAACCAGTAAGAATTCCGTCTCTCACAGACCTGTTAGTTTTTCTTTAAGAAGCCCTCCTGTTCTCCACTCATTACCTGTATTAACTGCACCTGTTTGAACTTGTTACCTGTATAAAAGACACCTGTCCACACACTCAATCAAACAGACTCCAACCTCTCCACAATGGCCAAGACCAGAGAGCTGTGTAAGGACATCAGGGATAAAATTGTAGACCTGCACAAGGCTGGGATGGGCTACAGGACAATAGGCAAGCAGCTTGGTGAGAAGGCAACAACTGTTGGCACAATTATTAGAAAATGGAAGAAGTTCAAGATGACGGTCAATCACCCTCGGTCTGGGGCTCCATGCAAGATCTCACCTCGTGGGGCATCAATGATCATGAGGAAGGTGAGGGATCAGCCCAGAACTACACGGCAGGACCTGGTCAATGACCTGAAGAGAGCTGGGACCACAGTCTCAAAGAAAACCATTAGTAACACACTACGCCGTCATGGATTAAAATCCTGCAGCACACGCAAGGTCCCCCTGCTCAAGCCAGCGCATGTCCAGGCACGTCTGAAGTTTGCCAATGACCATCTGGATGATCCAGAGGAGGAATGGGAGAAGGTCATGTGGTCTGATGAGACAAAAATAGAGATTTTTGGTCTAAACTCCATTCGCCGTGTTTGGAGGAAGAAGGATGAGTACAACCCCAAGAACACCATCCCAACCGTGAAGCATGGAGGTGGAAACATCATTCTTTGGGGATGCTTTTCTGCAAAGGGGACAGGACGACTGCACCGTATTGAGGGGAGGATGGATGGGGCCATGTATCGCGAGATCTTGGCCAACAACCTCCTTCCCTCAGTAAGAGCATTGAAGATGGGTCGTGGCTGGGTCTTCCAGCATGACAACGACCCGAAACACACAGCCAGGGCAACTAAGTAGTGGCTCCGTAAGAAGCATCTCAAGGTCCTGGAGTGGCCTAGCCAGTCTCCAGACCTGAACCCAATAGAAAATCTTTGGAGGGAGCTGAAAGTCCGTATTGCCCAGCGACAGCCCCAAAACCTGAAGGATCTGGAGAAGGTCTGTATGGAGGAGTGGGCCAAAATCCCTGCTGCAGTGTGTGCAAACCTGGTCAAGACCTACAGGAAACGTATGATCTCTGTAATTGCAAACAAAGGTTTCTGTACCAAATATTAAGTTCTGCTTTTCTGATGTATCAAATACTTATGTCATGCAATAAAATGCAAATGAATTACTTAAAAATCATACAATGTGATTTTCTGGATTACAGACCTCTACATGCTTTGTAAGTAGGAAAACCGGCAAAATTTGCAGTGTATCAAATACTTGTTCTCCCCACTGTATGTAAATAAGGTATTTCTGTTTTTATTTTTTATAAATTTGCAAACATTAAAAAAAATAACTGTTTTTGCTTTGTCATTATGGGGTATTGTGTAGATTGATGAGGGAAATGTTTTATTTAATCCATTTTACAATAAGGCTGTAACGTAACAAAATGCGGAAAAAGCGAAGGGGTCTGTAGTCCCGTGTAGCTCAGTTGGTAGAGCATGGCGTTTGCAACGCCAGGGTTGTGGGTTCGATTCCCACGGGGGACCAGTATGAAAAAAATAAAGTACTCACTAAGTCGCTCTGGATAAGAGCGTCTGCTAAATGACTAAAAATGTAAATGTAAAAAATGTCTGAATACTTTCCAAATGCACTGTGTGTGTGTTTCTGCATGGTTATATACTGTGTTTCTGCATGTTAATATACTGTGTGTGTTTCAGCATGTTATACATAGAGTATACCAAACAGTTGTACACCCCCCCCCCCCCTCTTTTACCCTCAGAACAGCCTCAATTCGTCAGGGCATGGACTCTAGAAGGTGTCGAAAGCATTCCACAGGGATGCTGGCCCATGTCGACTCCAATGCTTCCCACAGTTGTGTCAAGTTGGCTGGATGTCCTTTGGGTGGTGGACCATTCTTGATACACATGGGGAAACTGTTGAGTGTGGAAAAACCCAGCAGCTTTGCAGTTCTTGACACAAACCGGTGCGCCTGGCACCTACTACCATACCCCGTTCAAAGGCACTTCAAGCTTTTGTCTTGCCCATTCACCCTCTGAATGGCACACATACACAATCCATGTCTCAATTGTCTCAAGGCTTA